AACCTGATATATACTAATATAAATAATTAATGTATTATCTTAAATAAACTAGCAGTTAATACTAATATACTAGTAAAGCCTTTAGTTCCTAACACTTAATAGTTTGCTAGCAAACTAATAACAAAGGAAGAAAAGCTAATACTTAAGCTATAACTTCTGTAAAATATATCTATAATAAGGTACTACTATTATAAAAAAATAAGACATTATGTAAAGGATTACCCTTAGACACAAAAGTAGTTAGGAAAAGAGCTACCTACTATTAAGATGTTATAAGCAGGCCTAGCAACACAACTAATAAAGAAGCTATAAAGATCCCTATTACAATAATAAAGGATAATTTTAAGGCTTTATTTCTAGTTAATATTAGTATTAGAAAAGAAAGAAAAAGATTAATAGTATTAGCATTGTTAGATATAGAATATTAGTTAAGCATAATTATAAACTATTAATTAGTAAAATAACTTTATAAAAGGTTATAAATCAATATAATAGACCTAGCTAAACCTATTCCTATCTCTAATTTTACTAGTAAGATTTATTAATCTATCTCTTAAGCCCTTTATTTATTTATATATATTAGTAAATACTAGTAAAGATTACAGATCTTTTATGTAATAAAGGCTACATACCCTATAATCTTAGAAAAAAAGTAGATAAGGCTATATAGCTATATTCTAGATCCTAGGGATTTATTAGTAAAGTTTGCAAAAGATTATAATTGTAAAGAGTAATTTATATTTTAGCAGAACTACAAAAGTTAGAGTAATAAGCCTAAGGCTAAGAAGCAAGTAATAAAGGAAGAGCTAATAAAGAAGTCATGTAACGAATTTGGCTATATATATATAACTAAATTCTAGGCTAACCTAATTAAGGCATTACTATTATAGATAATAAAGATTCTTAAGCGTTCTAAAACAGTTTTAGCTATTTTATGACCTTTATATCTTATTAAGGTAGAGAAGACTTTAAGTAGTAAGATAACTATAATTACTATTTATAGAAGAAAGGTTAAAGAGGCTAGGGCAGCCTAGTATAGTACTAAGCCTATAAGTATTATAGTATTTAAACAATTATTAATTATCTCTAATACAGAAATATTTACTATTATAATAAAGGACATAAATAAATATATTAAGAAACAAATCTAGCCAGAACCAGACTTAAAAAAGGTTCTTCTAGTAGAATTTTAAGAATTTATAGATGTCTTCTTAAAGGAGGCTTCTAATACTCTTCTAGAGCATAAGGAGGAGTACAACTATAAGATTAAACTAGAAGTAGGTACTAAGCTACTACAGATATAGCCCCTGTATAAGATAAGCCTAAAAGAGCTTAAGGTAATTAGGAAATATATTAAGGAGCATCTTAAGAAGGGGTTTATTAAACTAAGTATTATCTTATTTATATCGCTAATTTTTCTAGTATAGAAACCTTAGAGGGGACTCTATTTCTGTATTAATTTTAAGGATCTAAACACTATTATAAAGAAGAATAGCTACACCATCCCTCAGATTAATAAGACTATAAGTCTTCTTAGAAAAGTTATAGTCTTCTTTAAACTAGATATTTAATAAATATATTATTAGATTTATTTAGCAACTAAAAAGAACTATAAACTTATTATATTTAGCATTATTTATAGCAACTATTATTATAAAGTATTACTATTTAGATTAATCTTTACACTAGTAATATTCTAACGCTTTATAAATAAGAAATTTATAAAGGTGCTTAGAAAATTTGTTATACTATATCTAGACAACATCTTAATCTTTAGCTAATTAAGAGAAGAACATAAGTAACATGTATAAAAAGTCTTATAGATTCTTTATAAAAGTAATATTTAGGCTAATATTAAGAAATGCAAGTTCTATACACAATTAGTAAAGTATCTCAGATTAATTATAACTCTAGAGGGCATTTAAATAGATTTAAAGTATGTATAAGTCGATATAATATAAAGATTCCTAAGGTTTATTAACTTCTATTAATAATTCTGCTTAGGATTTAGTAAAGTAATAAGGCAACTAAATAACTTATTAAAAAAGAATATAAGATGTATTTAAAATAACTATTATATAAAAGCATTTTAAGTACTAAAGAATATAATTTTAAAGAAATTAGTCCTAGCTTATTTTAATCTTAAGAAGGAGACAATTATAAAATATAATACTAGTAATTATATTATTAGTAATATACTTTTGTAAAGAGATAAAGATAAAGAACTCTATCTAATAGCGTTCTTTTTAATAAATATAGCACTAGTAGAGTATAATTACGCTATTTATAATAAGGAACTGCTAACTATTATTTACTACTTTAAAGAATAGTTGCTAGAGCTACGCTTATTAAAAGAGGATTCTATTTAAGTACTTATAGATTACAAGGCTTTAGAATATTTTATATTAATAAAGAAGCTAACATATTAATAAGCATACTAGGCGGAATTATTATCTTAATATAATTTTAAAATTAGATATCGCTTAAGAGCTACTAATAGAAAAGCTAATATATTAACTTAAAGAGAAACTAAGATCTTAAGAGCAAAGAAGGATCCTAATCTGTATTAGACCCTCCTGTAATTAGATATACTATTTAAGGAGGTAAAAGATAACCTAAAGATCTTAGTAATATAAGCGTTGCTAAAGAAGGAAGATTTACTGCTCTAAAAAAGGATAGAGAAAAAGAATTAGAATAATAAGACGTTTAACACGATTAGGATAGAAAAACAAGTAAAGAACCTAAAGAAGAAAATATTTGGGTATAACATTTAAAATTGTAAAGATAAGGAAGGAGTATTATAGTATAAAGAAAAACTAGTAGTATTAGTAGCAATAATAACAGACGTGATTTAAGAGATCTATAAGAGCAAGGAGACTAGGCACTTAGGCTATACAAAGATAAGGAAGGCTATTATAAGTAGTAAGTACTACATCTTAAATAGATATATATTAGTTAGGAGATTCTTACAGAATTATCATGTCTGCAGAAGGACTAAACCTGTATATTAGTTCCCTACAGGCCTATTATAACCTTTTCTGATTCCTAAGCGCCTTTAGCAAAATATCTTAATGAATTTTATTATAGGATTACTAATATTAGAAGGCTATAATATTATTTTAATAATTATTAATTATAATAGCTCGAAACTAGAACAAGTTAATAGTCTATAAATTGCTAAAACGTAAGCTAAGGAGTCTATCTATAGTGCGGCTAGCGCTCTACTCTATATACTCCTCCATCGAACACAAGGGGTGCTACTAGTTAACCTGCGCAGAGGATCCGACAGAGTATCTGCAGGGTCAGAAGCGGTAGCTTCCCTCTAGAGATTACCCTTAGACACAAAAGTAGTTAGGAAAAGAGCTACCTACTATTAAGATGTTATAAGCAGGCCTAGCAACACAACTAATAAAGAAGCTATAAAGATCCCTATTACAATAATAAAGGATAATTTTAAGGCTTTATTTCTAGTTAATATTAGTATTAGAAAAGAAAGAAAAAGATTCACTCCTCCCAAATTCCGTTGCCAAGCCTAGTAACTTCCCTATTAGGTTAGTCCGAAATTTAGCTGTATATATATGGGAGCTACTAAGGCGACCCGAAAATTTGTTACGGCGACCCGAAAAAATTGTTTCGGCGACCCGAAAGTCTTGGCATTAATTCCCTGGCTCAGCTAAAATCAATCAGGTAGCTTGTTCACAACCCATTTTGCTCGTCCTGCCTGCCGATTGGCCTTTATCTGCCTGGCTATCCTGCTCTGCCTTATCCAGGTCGTATCTCCTTGCATTCCTCGCCGCAAAAGCCGCTTTCTGCCTCGCTCGTTCATCCTTCCTCTCCCTCAGACTTGACCGTTCAGCCGCCTTCTTCTCACTTTGTTTAGGAACTCGCTCAGAGCGAGTAGGGTTCTCAGGTGTAGCTGTATTCGGCACTCTTATTGTCGCCCATAATGGAGGGTTAAAGTGTCTTGATTTAGGCATTGGTACAGTAAGTTCAAGAGTATTAAAGGGATGATCAACCTGCATCAATGAATACTCCTTGTCTGGTCGCCTGGGCGAATGTTTCTTCATCCCAGCTAACTCAGGTATCTCTGTCCATGCCGGAGGAATATTTCGACCTCCTGCTGCCTCTTGTCGTTCACGTTCAAGCTCATAGGCGGCTCGCTCATCAGGAGGTGTCTCACATCGAGTGCGAGGAGGGCTGTGATAATCATCGTCACTAGGAACGACTTCTCTCTCTTTCGGTAGCAAAGAAGCCAGCACAGCTCGTGTTTGTTCGGAAAAGCCTTGAAAGAGGCCCGGAGAAGGAGACCTCTGATGGGGACGTTTAGCTTTTGCGGCTTCCTGAGCATCTACTAATTCGAATTAGGATGGATACTGTCGAGTAGATGTTTTAGGGATCTTTGTCGTTTCTCTTGGCTGTCCCTTTCGGGCCTGAATAAGTAGATTTTAAAGGAAGGATGATGTGATTAGGAATACGGGGTGTTAGACAAATAGAGAGGGTAGAGTAGATTAGTCTAAGGAGGCTGGTAGAGCTAGCGGAGAAGATTAATTATGGTATCAAAATTCATAAATATTACTTAAACAGAGATTTTGACCCTCTTTCTTTATTTGATTTAATTTATGATAACAAGGAAGTCTTATTAATAATCGAAACTGGCTAGAACAAGATTTAAGGGGATCCTGACGTAGCTCCTTTTATTTTAGAATCTTAAGCATGGCAGGAGGAGTTACAAACTGTTGAACTTTATTAAAGAGAGACCCCTGGTAATCCTAATAATACCTTGTTTTTGCCTGCTCTGATTTAGCATAATATTCATAAATCTGACAGGCTATAAAAAGAAAGACTCTCTCTTGAACAATACGGAGGTCGCCTGTATTAACAAGAAGATGTTGTTTTAAGCTTGAATGGATACCTTCTGTACGAGAAGTGACTCTAATATCAAAGTAGAATTATTGATTAGTTTAAGCAAATACAAAGTAGGTCTTGAGAGATAGCTATTAATTGCGGAAATAGTCTAAAATAGTAGGAAAGCGTTAATATTTATTAACAAAATCATCCTAATTAATAATAAAATCTTTGTTTGTTTTGCTTTGAACAATCTTATACTAACTATTAGTAAACTCTTTCTATTCCTGCTTTCTTTTAGCTGCAGTCTTAGATAGTTCTTGTTGATTTTCGACTTCCTTAGAGAAAAAAGCGGACTTGTAATATGTGGTAATACATTTAAAGATGTGCCAAAGATAGAGAAGGTTTTGTAATACTAAGAAAACATCTTTGATTGCCTTTATAAGCGACGTATCACAATCAGTCATGATTAAATAAGGCGTATTAAGGGGTCTATCGTGATATAGAGGGCGGAGTTGACAGAGAACCTATTGAAACTCTTCGAATTGCTCTCTACTAAGAAATGTTATACTAATAGTGAAAGCGCGTTTCATCAAGATGATATTAGTAATAGTAAAAAGAGGCATATTAAATTTATTTGTGTTATAGGTGCAGTTAAGTAGTAAGACCTTTAAATACTTTCGTAATAAATCGATTGATTTTTAATATCTAAAGAGAAGGCGTTAAACAGCACAAGAGGAGTTAATTTCGAATTATATAAACTAATCTACTTCGCTTTAAAGGTCTTTAACTAATGCCTAAATTGATGATCAAGGCCCTTGCTTTAAAGCTTAATACTAAAAGTGTGCGTTATTAATGTTAGACAAAATAATAAAAGGGGTATTAGTTTCTTATAAGAAAGAACTCTGGGTTTAACAAGGAGCTATTCTAGCGTTATACTGTCTTTCGATCTCTTTACGCTAAGAAGGGCTTAAGAGATGGTGTGTAGAGTAGGCGAGAGCATCTGTAGCTATATGATTATGATCGTCATTGCAGAGTTTAGCTCTCCATCAACTGTCATCTAAATAAAGCTGTACTGAGAAGGGGCACTCTATGAGCCTTGTACTCTTTTTTCGCTAACGTTCATTATTATTATTCAGATAGGAATGCTTTGTTTTGCCGCTCTTATCATATTTCAAATCCACTCTCTTTATGACGCCTTTATAGGCATTTATTCGTCTCTTAATAATTGTGTAGCCTTCAGTGGTTATAAAGCTATTCAGCTCTAGTATAGCATCTGCAATTAATAAGTAATATGCTAGCAAAGAAGGAGAAGTGAGAGGCATATTGAATAAAGCTTAAGCAGCTATAAGGAGATGAGACTGTAGGGGAGGAAATACTAGATTAAGAGGTATTGAACTTGAAAGTATAAAGAAGTATACCTTGCCTACTTTTGTATTAATAGTAAAATAACGCTCAAGAATAGTAGTATATTAAAATGATAGCAAATCAGTGAGCTCCTTAATACAGGAATAAAATAGTCTTAAATCTATGAAACAACGTATCTAGAACATATATAGAACGCAGATAAAACGTCTAAGCTGTAGAATATCAAGTACGTTGCTATAGCAACAGCAAGATTCTATAAGGCTGCTGGTAATGAACTAGTGTAAAGAAGAAAGGGAAGAACAGAACGGTCGGGAGCCTAATACCTGTAAGGAATATGTTTCATCTTCGTGGATCAACCTACGGATACTTGTACGCCACGACGTGTGGAACGCGGTGGAAATCAGATTTGTCCGCGCGTCTGTCCGCAGACAGCTAACAGCAGACAGTATGAGAGAATGAACTGGACAAAGAGAGTGTAGATCTCCGCTGGCTGTCCATAGACAGTCTGCAGCCGGAGGGAAAAGTGGGTGACATGATTGGCCAGAAAGCTCACGGCATTTGAAACCATGAACACCTTACTTAGTTGAGTTTAGCTGGCACGGAATGCCAAGACTTTCGGGTCGCCGAAACAATTTTTTCGGGTCGCCGTAACAAATTTTCGGGTCGCCTTAGTAGCTCCCAATTCTAATTATTTTGGTGTTGCTACTTCCTAATTAGGCTTAGTGCATACTATAATAAAGTTCTCTTGGCACCCGCTCTGTTGACCAATCGAAAAAAGGGTGCATTTTACGACAGAGTGGTGGATAGCAACCTTGGAATTCTACTACTTACCATTTTATTAACTGCGCTCTGAAGCGCTGAGCTCTGAAACTTTGAGGATTTGAGGCTTGGAGGCTTGGATGCTTGGAGTCTGTCTTGATGTCTATGTAAATGGCTCTCATGCAGATAAGGCGAAAAGGCCAACGAAGCGATGCAGAAGCTCAAAAAACCGGCAGTAAAAAATTGTGAATATTTGAAGACTGTCCGCGATGCTCCTCCGTCATTCTATCTTGCAACCCAACGATTTATGAAATGATGACCTATTGACTACACATTGGTAGCTTTCAGTACTTCGTAATGGAGTTATGAGGAATTCTCGCTTCTTTCAGTAGGATAGATAGTATGGAAGTAGGCAAGCACTGTGTAGGGTCGCTCCAATAACAAGCAATTCAGGAACAATCGATGCTTTCCTCCCGTGCTAGAATTAGGTCTCAGACCAGTGTTCTGGAAATGAAACAAGGCGTTGTGGATTGTGCGTGCTTAATGTACTCGACCTGCATTCGCAAAGAGGGGGTACTTTCGAAGCAGGATAAATTTCCATCGAATCATATCGAGTCAAATAAACCAATAAAATGCTTGGCGGATAAACCAAATCCATGCTTCCGTCAAATCAAACCAAGACTTCAGAATTTGATGAATTACGAGTACTAAAGTACAGTAGTAAGTAGACAGACAGAAGTCTTGGCAGAAAAGTAATTTCAACCTTATTTTTTAAAAAAGAAAAATGTCTTGGCGGACTCCTCTTGTGGCATGGAAAATCCTTAACAGCCTTTCTCGTAACATATTGCTTACTGACATTTGATTCAATTTGACAAATGAGCCAGATCAAATCAAATCGACCCGAGGGATTATGCCCTGATTTGATTTGATGGATCGCCTGTTTCGAAGCACGCTACTCATTGCCCTTAGTTCCATCCATACTAGTCATTTCAGCTACTATTCAACATGGCTGTAGCATATTTGACAAGTCCCGGCAGCACACCCTACGAATTCGAGCTCATCCTATTTCAAAGGAAGCTGCTGACCTGCTGACATGAACCATGGATGACCACTTACTCGACTGGGTCGCGATCAGCAGTCTCGGCATGTCAGGTTAGTTCTAAGAATATATCAGTGACTCCAGTGAACGTATGCTTCTGTGTATGACAGGATGCGAACATCTTGCTCGTAAATAATGGCAACGTAATATGAGCATCAGCCCAGAAAAAAGGTGCATGTGGGGTCTTCACCAGTGGGAGGCAGTACATGCTCTTGCGCGCTACAACGTGTGAGACATCACGAAGCAGACGAGCATCTGGAGCCATTGCGGCTCTCCTCAGTGCTGTATTGGGCTACGATCATCAAGTAACGACGTCGGATAACTCCAAATCCGGGACTTGGATACGAACGAGGAGCGCCGAATCGAGTAAAGCTGCAGTCAGCACGGCAAGATCATACTAGTAAGTTTCCCCGCATCGGCAAGAAATCTAGACTGGAGGCTTGACTAGGGCCTGCGGGATTCGGCTGGCTTGCTGACATTTGGCTCCGCTGGCGCATTGTCCGCCTCTAGTCTTAGCTAATCTCTTGATGGCATTATCTAAAACAAAGATCGACATGCAAAAGCCCATACAGCCAGAGGCGTTCTTGATTCTGTCGTCTCCCGCATAATAAGGTGCCTGCAATCCTTATTAGTTACCGACCTTCAGAGCACTGCGCACCCTAGCCTAGGACATCTCTATTTTCAAAGACTAGTCTAACTAAAATTGCCCCTCGTCGGCCTCGAACACCTCCTGTTCGAGCTCAGATTAATACTTGGTACTGGCAGAGATGGAGAAGGGAAACAAGTAATGAAATAGTAGAAACCATGATATACTGCTATCATCGACTTTGGACTTCGTTATCCTATCTTGTGATCCAACAGCGTTCAACCTCAAACAAGCAATAGTTTTGACAGCTATGGATCTCTACGTGTGCGATAAAATGTGTACAGTGTCGCTATTACTAGGTTTACCAGGGAAGCAGCACTCCACGAGGCTTAGCTAATACCTGGACTGACACTCGGATCATCGCCTGCTCCCCGCATTTTTTGTTCCACGTTATCGTCCTTTAGACGCATGCGAGGCTACACAACACGAGATGATTGTCATTGAACACGATCGATCATCTTACTGGCACAGCGCTCATGGTTGCTGCTTGGCATGGCCGGCTCTTTTACTAACCAAGTTCAGGTATCTTTGGAAGTGCTTTGGGTAAGATCAGCGGCAGCACACTTCCTGTTCCGGAAAGATCAAAAAAGGCCTCCTACCTCATTCGTCATGTCTTTCTCTTTCGCGATGCTTGTGTTATTGCATGTTCCTGCGGGTTTTAGAGCGCGGAAACACAGAAGCTTGACCACAACCCGACTGTCGATTGTAGATCGTCGGGTGAGAAGACCTGGATTGTTCCATTCAGAGCTGGTCCTGACTCAATAGTCATGGTTTCCTGGAATGCTACGCCACTCTTTCTCACGCCATCCACACAGGGACGGATTCCATGATTGCATTTCCAAATCTTGTGGGGAAGTGGAACAACTCTTTACATAAAATTCAAGGCTCCAGCCCGCAGCTTATATCCTATTGGGCGCATGCTGAACCCAGCTGTGAATCGTTCCCTGTTCTAGCTGAAGACCGTCAACTGTCTACTCCTGGCGTCAGCACTACCGGACAAGCAGGCATCCTTCACGCATTACCAATGACCGATCTGGATACTGGCCCACACTCCCACTGGTGGACTGTTCTGTCTGTCCATGATCCAAAGTATAAATTCTTGCTTTCCTTTCCTCTGGAACAACTTTTTTCTTTCTTTCCTCACCCTTCTATCAAAGTCTTGGCGGACTTTCACAGTTCCTGTATCTATAGTTTGGCCCATAGCAGGCCATCGTCTACCCCCTTAAGTGGTTGGTTGCCTGACAACTTTTGGCAGCGCTCTACGCAAAGACATCCTAGGTCTTCCTCAAGATGCATTTCAAGTCCATTCTCGCGCTGCTTGCATTGACTGCCGCATCGGCGGTTTACGCTGCCCCAGCTTTTGATGACCAAAAGGACTGTCAGTACGGCTGGGATCATGACAGACACAGCTGCAAACCTCAACCACCTTGCCAGCATGGATGGGATAAGGAGCACAAGAAATGTTATGAAAAACCTTGTGAGTATGGATACGATGAATACGTAAGTCGCCCCAGTCTTCAATCATGACATAGTCTAATCGTCAGGCAGAATCAATGCTGCAAGCCTCGACCACACTGCCAGCATGGCTGGGACAAAGAGCACAAGAAATGCTACGAAAAACCCTGTGACTATGGGTACGATGAACATGTAGGTGGTCTCTTTGCAAGCATCAACTGGTCGGCTTCAGCCTGAATTTACATGATGCTGATCCAACCAATACAGAACCAATGCTGCAAGCCTAAACCAAAATGCGACTATGGTTGGGACAATGAACACAAGAAATGTTACGAGCATCCTTGTGAGTTCGGGTATGATGAATCTGTAGGTGTTTTCATCTCGACGTCCATCAGGTGCATAGATAGGGCCTGAACTCGCAAGGGGCTAATCAATGTTACAGAAACAATGCTGCAAACCGAAACCGGAGGAACCAAAAGAATGCCCACATGGACAGGAGCGACATCCCAGGACGAAGGAGTGCTGCCAGTACGGATATGATCACGAGAAGGATGCATGTAAACCCAAGGAGGAGGAGCACTGCAAGTACGGGAAGAAAAAGAATGGGAAATGTCGAAAGCACGAGAAGAAACCGAAGGAATGTCCCTGGGGGAAGGACGACGACGACGAATGCCGAAAGGAGTGCAGAGACAAGGACAAGTGTGAAAAGGAATGGTGGGGAGGCTGTAAGAAAGATCATGATGGGATGGATATCCCCAAGAAGAACGTCTATCTCCCACACTGGGTCTTCAACTGGGATGACTAGACCAGAAGATTTCGTGAGAGGAGCTTTTCTTGCGAAAGGCTCGATAGTAAGAGATGTCAGGATAGCCGGGTGGCTTGGTAGTACGTTGTAATACTGGTTCTGAGGACATAAGGTTGATAGCCTGTGTTGAGGTCGCCGCTCCTTCTTTTGTGTCCAGGTTAGTGCGCCGGCTTGTGACGGGGACTGTTATGAGGATTAATGATAATGAGTATTGGATGAAGTTTTCAAGCCTCCCTTGAGCTGCAGTCAGTAGCGTTATAGTAGTACAAGATGGCTCTTACGCCACATATTGAGATTTCTGGAAATGGGCTCAGGGTAGCCATCAAATCAAACAGAGGCCCTGATTTGCCTTGTTTGACTGATTTGTCAAATCGAGTCCAATCCTAGTAAGCAAAATATTACTAAGTTAGTAGGATTTACCACAGATTCTTGCCAGATCAAGTGTCCGCCAAGACCATTCAGAATAAGAGACTTTTCTGTCAAGACTTCGTTTAACCAGTAATCTTTGACAAAGGTACTGGTACTATAAGTTGACCTGCCAAGCATTTGATTTTTAATTTGTTTGACTAATTTGATTGATGGACACACTGGCTGGGCTCAAGTAGAGTCGTCCTACTCATGAAAGGACACTATTTCGAGGCCTGAATATACTGAGTCGACATCTAATAGGCTAACACAAGGATGGGTTAGTGTACCATCATCATTTGGTCATTCACGGGTTGGAACAGGCGGACGATCAGTTTTCCTGATGCGTTATCGCCCACGCTCTTCTGGGTGGCAACGCCTGACTTGCAGCAGAAGTGTGAGGATTGGCGCAGCCCACTAATCAAGTTGCTGCCTGAGGTTTCAAAGCAATTATGTGAACTTCAGTCGGGAAATCTCCGGCTTTTCTTGAATGGTGGAGGCAGTCCGATACTTCCGCCATCTGCCTACGTCTCGGGTAGTCCAATCCAACACGACCACAAGCAATCACTCTTCTAGTTCGCTGTTCAGACACTCGCGCCTGCCGCATCAGGTCAACCTAGTAAGCGGCGTTGTGTTGCGGCAATCCACAACTTCCCTTTACTTGAACGAGCTTCTCGGAACTCTTTCATCTTTCATCCTAGGATTAAGTGCTCTTCGAATAACTTACAGACCTATCTTCCTTGACTCACAGGCACTACTCTCACATCCCTTCCAGCAATTCTCATTACCAAGCTACATAACCTCGTTCTACACCGTTCAACCCCTCATCACTACATATTCCACCCGACCTCAATCAAATCCACCATGTTGAAATCTATGCTCGCGACCACTACTACAGTTGCTGCCACAACTCTGAAAAACGCAGGCCCGCGAGTCTACGCCTATGCACAAGCCAATCCTATACGCACAGCCTTCGCTGGTGCCAGTCTGGTCGCCGTACCCCTTGGTGGGACTGCCGCTGTCGCTGCGCCGGCTCTTAAACTTGTTGGGTTCGGATCTGCGGGACCCATTGGAGGTAAGTGGCAACAACCAGTCTCGTCAAGTTGGCTTCCGTGGTGAGCATTGGCAGCTTACGAAGACTTCTCGCAGGTAGTCTGGCGGCTTGGTATCAGGCTTCGTACCTGGGCGGTTATATTGCTGCTGGGAGTTTGTTCTCTGTTCTGCAGGCCTGGGGGATGACGATCTGAGATGCCGAAGGTTGGAACATGGGAAGGGCTGTGGACGATATTGCAAACAGTGTTGTGGCGAACGGATACCCACGTGGAGTGAGGGCTTATGAGGGCAGCATGTATGTGAAAGGGGAAACCAGTCACAGTATCAAAATTGCGAGGGAGATTGGCTGGCCTTTAGCGTACTCGTGGCTAGACGGCACTTGGTGCCTGGTATGCGGCGCTATGTCGCGCCCAACAAGCTGGGGGGTTAGCACTAGGCTACTTCATTGCTAACGTGGGTATTCTTAATAGACATCGAGGTCTAACAAAGAGTATTCTTCACCTTTGACACCGTCTCACTCTCGCGTCTTGGTTACTAGATCGAGGAGGTGATGAGAAAGATCTCCATCACAGTTTGCCTGTATTGATCTTCTCCCGATTTCATCAAGGAGGCCACAGGCCCAACCCCTGCTTCAATTTCGGGTGCTTAAATCTTTCATTATATGGACATTCCTCGGGACTTTCGGCTACTTAAAGTTTCAATCTACACCGTAATAGACGATGCCTTGCGACATCAAAGAGTGGGGGATCGAGGGCCAAGGTGTTGTTCATGTTGGCCTTCAGAGTCCGCCAAGCCTTATTTTCGCGCTCATGGCCGGGAGAACAATCAGATTTTCCATCCTCCTCCCCCCTGCCCACTAGTGATGTCGAATAATCAGTTGTCAGTCTATGCATCCCGACCAAGAAGTTGGTTGCACGTAATTACATCTTTGAATTTGACCTGTCAAGCTAAGAGAGTGCCTATTGGCCAGCCCTCCTATATAGTATTTGCGTATGATTGGTCAATTTATTGTGCAACGTCGAAGCAAATTTCGCTGTGCCGTACAGATCATCTGATCCCAGAGGTCGGTTCGATTTGATCTGATTTGACTCGTTTGTAAAACGGAGTCTAGTGTTAGTAGCAACGTTTTGTTAGCACCAGGAGTCAGTGGGAATACACCCGTCAAGTGTGGCTCAAACCCCACAAGCGCTGTCCTTTTGGTCGGGAATTCAATGCACTACAATTTTGACCGAGATTAGCCGAAAATGTACCAATAACTTAACAACCTACTACTTCTACGCGAATTGATACTATCAATTCAACAGAATAAGCCCCTCACTCCTCCAACAAAGACAATTAAGCGCAAAGGAGCTGTCAGCATACTGTCCAAAAATCCTGATTCTTTGAAACCTACGACTCACGAACAGCTCAAAGAGGTGTTGCAAGACGGATGGAGCAAGATCACCGTGCAGGAAGTTCGAGAGCGTATCGCTGAGATGCCCTCTCGATGTAAAAGCTAGTAGATACAGGTGAAGAGGCCATTAGAAACTTATTGTGGTGACAATAGAGTGGTGGATTGTTAGAAGTATGCCATGAAGCAGTGCAGATTAGATTAGTAAGCAAGAGAAAGTAGATGGAATGGATTGATTGACTTGCTATCTCAACTCCTGAGGAGTAGGATGACCGCTATATATACCCATAGAAGAGGCAAGCTATAGAATCACCTAGAAGGAGAATCAGCGTTGCAATGCTAACTGCAGCATTTGTGAGTGTATGCGTTTCTGAGTAATAGCGCGTGGCGAACAGTTGCGGTGGTCGGAGAACTCCGTCTTCCGCTGACACTCCCTCTCAGGGAGCATTGCCTGTAGCTGCCCTGATTACCCTTTTGGGACTCTGTATAGAGTATCAAGGGATGAGTTTTGTTTCGTCAGTAAGAGCTTTAATAAAACCTAGAAAAACCCTGTAAGAGAAAATAGGAAATCAAAGACTCAGTCAAGTAGAAGTATTGGCGGACCAGTGGTATAGGTTGAAATACTAGTAGAATTCAGGGTTACTTTTGAGGAAAAATAAAAGGTCTTGGCGGACTCTGTCCGTGGGACGAAAATCTTTGATGATGACCAACAGACTCACATAGTCGTCGAGTTCTTCTTGTCAGGAGTCAGTGTATCTATCCATCAAATCAAATCAACCCAATCATGACCCTCATTTGATTTGCTTATCAAATCCCAGCGGTCGATTTGGTTTGATTCGACTCGGTTGCCACATGGGGTCAAATGTTACTAGTAGTTAGTTAATGTTTGGTTAGGAGGACTGCTGTCTCCCGAGGAAGAGAGTACCGACCTCTGCAGTAGTACCTATATCACTATCATACCATTTTCGGTTGCAACTTGCAACACAACACGTGATATGCTCATTCATGCCTGCCATATAAACCATCATTCCTTCTTACAGAGCATACCTGCCCACACAAGGAAATCAGGCTCGCTACTCCGTAAACCAACGCAACCTCTCCCGAGTCCTTCGGCTTCATGTGACTAGTTAGCATACTATTACGAAATTCGATTCCAGCTCGTACAAAGTCGACCATGTGTAAAACGATACCGAGAAAAAGGACGCGTCTTCCTGTAGCAGCTTCAAATGGAGGTCTGGGTTTTTTCTATGAGATCGAAGGCGGCGGTAGTGGAAATATGTCGTACTAAAAGCAGTCCTCGTTCTTTAGCACGTAAGCCCCAAGCCTCCAATTGACTACCAGTACTACTAACATATGAAAAGCCAAGTCCAAGCATCGAATGTCGAGACGCACAAACGAAAAGGAACTTAGACCTACTGTTAATAGCAGTATCACACCGAGCAAGCGATATTTTCCCTCGCAACAAAAAAAACACTCTGATGAAAGGAAGTCCTAATTGAATCTAAGATCTAAAATTCCTACCCACACACAGAGCCAAACCGAGATTCTCCTTCTCGGTTCCAGATGCTATAACCCAACCCCACCCAACCAACCCGGTCCAGCCCAGTCCAGCCCAGTCCAGTCCGGATTCCACCAAGAACACCGCCGCTTGCTATGCTATCGTGACCAGACACAAAGATACATGCACACACATATCCCAGCATGACCAATCCCGTTCCCATTCTCATTCCCTACCGAAAAACCATACTGGAGAGCGCCAGCGCGCGCCAGGAGAAAGAAAGAAAGAAAAAAAGAAAAAAGTGTAGGGTGTAGAAAACAGAAACAATCTCACCAAAATTGAACAAGAAAAAGGAAATCCGAGAAGAAAAGTGATTACTATCCATCCATCTCTGCACCCCTCCTCCTCATCATCAATCACACCACGGTTCGTTTCCCATTCACGAACGTGACGATATTCTTAGTACTCTTCCCTTGCGGCTTCGCCTGTGGCTTTGATTGGGACTTGGGCTGAGACTTTAGCTGAACCTTTTTCTGAGCCTGGGACTGCTGCTGCTGCTGCTGCTGCTGCGAAGACTTCCCCTTTCCCATCCCGCTTACAACACTTGCATTGCCCAGCTTACTCCCCGTAGCCGGCGGTTTCACATGGCCCGGGTTACTAGAATCCATCGCTGCGCCTGCTTTCTTGCCTTGTGATGTGGTTGATGGTTTCGTGTTCTCTTTCCCGGTGCCACTTCCGAAGAGGCTTGCACTGGGTGGCTGTGGTTTCTGTTGCGGTATATTTAGCTTGTTCGAAAGAGGTGGTGGTGCGGTGGCTTTCGTCTTGTCGCTGCTGCCGGATTTTCCCAAGACTGACCCGTTGCCCTTGGCTTGAGAAGATGGTACAGGTTGTGCCTTCTGCTGAGGTGGTTGATTTGCGGGTGGCGGCATGGGCTTACTTGCAGGTGCAGTAGGCTTGCTGGAAGGTAGAATAGGCTTGCTGGGAGGTGGCAGAGGCTTGCTAGGTGGCATAGGCTTGCTTCTAGGCAGAAGAGGTTTACTTGGAGGCGGCGTGGGCTTGCTGGATTGCCCTCCCAATGGTGCAGGTATTTGATTCACCTGTGTGGGCTTAGCTGGGCCGGATGTGGCATCCGCTGATTTCCAGACATTGCTAAACATTCCCCCGCTATTTGCTTGATTGGGTTTTGGTGCATTTAAGGGGGCTGGTTGAGCGGGTGGTTTGGGGAAAACCAGAGATCCGCCTACAATCGGCTGGCTTTGGTTGCTCGGTGGAATTGTCGGCTTACTTCCAAAGAACCCTGCTGAGCTAGATTGGAGGGGCTTGTTCTGCACTGATGTCGGAGCTGCTGGTTTATTCATGAAGCCTGAAGAAGATGTCGTTGGAGCATTGCTCTGTGGAGCTGCTGGAGCTGGCTTTTCGAGTGATGCATTCGGGCCATGTGGAATTTGTTTCGACGCCGAGAGAAAGCCACCACTACTATTCGGCTGCTTATTCTGAAGAGGAACAGCTAGGGGCATAATGGCAGGCCGCTGCACTTTCCCAGAAACACCTCCACTGTTTGAAGGATTGACCTGAGGCTTGCTCGGCGCGATTGGCGGATTGGGGATTGGCGCATTCGGCTTTGATAAGCCGAAGAGACGATTTTTAATAGACGGGTCACTCTGAGTCGCATTGTTTGAAGGCCCGGCTGGACCAGGTGTTGAGCCTGCAAAGAAGCCACCTCCATTTGTCGGGTTTTTGGGAGGAGGAGGAATGTTTGGAGGATTCGGAGGTGCGGTATCCGACCGTCCAGAGAAGCCACCTCCGGTTTTTGGTTTGGACGAGGATGGATTATTTGTGGTATTTGAAGGAATAGGATTTGGAGGGCTGAAGAAGCCACCCTTGGTGGATGTATTGTTAACAGACGAGTTGCTCGGAGGATTCATCGGGCCTGGGGTTGACCGCTCAAGCAGTCCATTTCCATTTGACGGATTGACTGGAGGTGGGTTGGCTGGCGGCACCACTGTCGCAGGTTTCGAGCTCCCCAACAGTCCACTCCTGACAGGTGTGTTGTTGGGAGGTGTTTTCCCAGGTAGCATGTTTGAGAGCGGCTTTGCGCCTGAAAAGAACCCTCCTATACCTGTCTGAGCTTTCTGAGGCGGCACGCTGGGTTGTTGCATGGTAGAGTTTACTTTTCCTTCAGCTGAAGAAGCAGCCAGATTAACTTGACTGGCTGCAGACGCTGTTCTCGGAGGTAGAGTCGCCGGTGGCTTGTTCGAGCCACTAATCCGATTCGTGAATTTGCTAAATGGATTGAAGTTTCTACTGGGCTGGCTAGCCTGCAGCTCTTTCGGGGGCCTGCTTGGTGGTGGTGGTAGAGGGGGCTTGAACGTTGTTGATTCCTTCCGCTGACCAGCCACAGGGATGGGAACGTTTGGCTGTCTCTCTGGTGCTGTCTGGTTCTGTGTATGTGCCGGCTGATCACCTGGCGTCGTGCTCGGGAATAGAGGCTTGCTCGAATTACCTGCCGGCGAGATGCCACCCCGTGCTGCATCAGGGACTACGGGCGGTTTTTCTGCATTAAGTGGTTGGCTGCTCTGGAAAGGAGCCGGCCTGGCCTGCTTGTCGGGTATAGTAGTATGTGGTTGGGCTTGGTTTGGAGGTGGAGGTAGTATCTGGGACCCAGGCTGGAGCGGAACACCTTGGACCTTGCTCAACGGCTCAGACTTGGGCTGGGCACCGAAAAGGCCGGGACCGTTGCGGCCGAATCGAGCGAGCATCGACTGGCTCGGCCCTGCTTGTTGTGTTTGCGAAGTACCTTGTGATGGACCTTGCGGGGGACCTTGAGGCGGTAACTTGTTTTGAGTGCCAAAGGGTCCATTTCCACCTTGAGGATGCGCTGGGCCTTGAGAACCAGGGCCTTTCGGAGCATTGAATGGCATTGGTGGTAGTTGTGATGTACCCATAGGCATTGCTTTAGAGGACATCATGGCAGGGGCTGGAGGCGTTGACGCTTTCTGTATCGCGGAGGGTCCTGGTGCATCTGTTGGCTTTGAGGGCTGGCCCTGCTGTTGTGTTCCCCCAAAGAATGAGCCCGGCAGGTCGGGCAACTTACCCAAAGGTGGCTGTGGTGGCTTTGGCTCCGGCTGTGGCATCGTCGACGCTTGTGGGCCAGGTTGGATGGTTGCATGAGCAGCACTCTTTTGCGCGTCGCCAAAAGATGGTGCGGACGAATTGGGCAGCCGGCCCAGAGAGGGTACTGAGGACAGGCCATTTTGGGGTGGATTGCTGGTGCTTGGGCCTTTCAGACCCATACCTGGCGGAGGTATCTGTCCTCTCGGCAATCCGTTCGAAGCGGGTAGGGTTCCCTGGGTCATGTTCGGTAATAGTGGCATTCCTCCCCGTGGTGGCATGTTCGTAGGTGGTGTTGAATCTTTCATTGCCATATTTGGTGGAGGTAACACTCCTTTTGCCATCGCTGAACTTGCCGCTGGCGTAGGGGTAAACTTACCGTCCTGTAATATGCCAGGTAACATTGGGGCAGATGGTTTCGTGGGCAGATTGGTGCTAGTAGAAGGTTGAGGAGGTGGCATAGCCTGAGGAATAGGAGCTTTTTGTGAGAACGACGGGAATGGCCATCTTTGTTGACCTGGAGGCCCAGGCGGCTGCTGCACACTAGGTGGGAATGGCGGGTTGGGTTTACTGCCAAGTTGGCCTCCAGATGGTGGAATGGACACATTAGAATGGGCTGGGTTTTGTGCAACGCCCGCGCCTGATGATGGCGTCTGGCCTTGATCAGACGTGTTCTCCGTCTGCAGCTTAGATGGCATCCGTAGTCCGTTCTGTGAAGGAGGTAGAGACTCTTGCTGAGTATATGACACCGAGCCGCCGTTCGAATTCCCAAATGGTGGTACCTTTTGCTGTATGCCCGGGAATACCGGGGCTTTGGACATCTCAGGTGCTGGAGACCCACGCTGTACACTGGATGTTGGCATTCCTTGTTCATTTTTCGGCGGCACGGGCTGCCCAGAGCCATGATGCTGAGCAGCCTTCTGTACATCTGGCTGGAGTGTTGGTGCTTTAAAGGCTGATGTAGGCAAGGCGGAGTTGGCCACCGGATCGCTTGTTTGTGGTAGGAATGGCAATCTCGAGGCTCCATTCGTTGGCTTGGAGGCTGCCTGCTGACCTGGTAACGGAGGAGGCGGAACACGCGGCAGTTGGTTAGAGAGTTGTGGCGGTTTGGGTAGTGATGTAGATGGTTGTGTACCTAGTCCTTTCGAGTCATCCTGCGCGTTTGGAAGCGGCATTGGCTGGAGAGGATTCCGTGTTGTCTGGCTGTCCTGCCCTGGTGGTAGTGGAAATTGATTGATGTTCCCATGAGCGGTCGGAAACCCTCGAAAGCCTTCACCTGACAGTTTACCCTGCGGAAGTGGCGCTGCTGTCCCATGACTCGTGCTTGACGTGGGCCCGTTCTGTGCTCTTGGAGGCGGAGGTCCATTGAACAAACCAAAGCCGGACTTCCCTGGCGTTTGTCCATTCACAGGTGGGATTCTTTGCTGGTTTATCCCTGGTGGACCTTCCTTCAAATTGATGGAGGACCCAGTCTGCAGTCCAGGAGGCAAAGGTCTGTTGTTGGCACCAAAAGGAGAGAAAATTCCTTTCGACTGATCCGCGAGGGGCCCTCTCTGCGCGTCTATTCCTGCCAGAGTGTTTGCTGAAGTAGTGAGAGTACTGTCTTTTCCACCTACCGGCGTAGGGCTGGACTGGTTCTCCGCTAATTTTCCTGCCTGCAGACCTGTGGAACTTGGTCCTGACTGCGCGTCGGTAGCAACGGGAGGCTTTGGTAAGCTGGGAATGGGCGGAAGCGATTGAGCAGGAGGAGGTAGCGCACCTTTCGGCGGAATTGCTGACAATCTAGGTCCCATTGGCAAGCCACCACGCGAGAAAGGACTTGGCATACGCTTCTCTGGTGCGGAGGCCGAAGTCGAGGGAGCTTCTTTCTGTGAAGATAGTGCCATGTCGCCCATGCTCGTAGTTGATGCTGCGGGATCGATGTTCTCCCTCGAAGACAATGAAGATTCTGGCTTCTGAAGACCATATGGAGGCGGTGGCATCGAGTCTTTACCAGCAATAGAGGTAGGCTGCCAGTCTTGCTTGCTATATGGTACAGAGTTCTTGGAAATGGCTGGTGGCATCTGCTGGGCGTCAGCAATCCTTCTTGGGTCACCCAGAGTGGTCTGTGGTTGATTCCTCGCCGTTGGCTCAGTCGAAAGAGTACTGCTTCCAAACATTGCAGGATAAATAGGCTTGCCATCGACCTCTTTAACTGTTTGGCTCACTTCATTTCGAGATACCGGCTGTGAGGAGCCTCTGTCAGCTGGAGAGAACGCCTCATTCATATTCGAAGGTCTTTGACCAAGCGGTGAAAACCGGCCTCGTGGAGGAAGCCCGGCGGTTGAGAGATCAGAGGGTTTTCCAAAGCCGGCCAATACATTGTTTGTTCCTGTTCTCGGTACTTGATCGATACTCCGTCCTTGAACTTCTGTCACTTGGTCTCCAACTCCAGGACTCTTTGCATTGAGTGCATTGACACTGTCAGAGAGCCCGGGAGCCTTTTCGGGCAGCCCTGCGAGCGTGCTTTTGCGTCGGGGCCCCGGCCCCGGCCTCGAAGGTAGTCCCATCCGTGGCGGCTGTGGTGGAAGCGGAATTTTGTCTTTCCTGGGAAAGTCTTGAATGTCATTGGCTCCAGCATCTGCAAGGGTTGATGTTGTTGCACTATCGTTCTTGTCCTGAGGCATAATCTGAGGGCCATTGGCCCACAAGGTGTTCTCCGGCTTCTGCCAGGCTTCGGACATGCCTACGGTAGTGGCTTCTCGTAATGGCTGCTCACCAGCGACAGATCTTGCAAAGGTACTGCCATCTGTCTGGGGCTTGATGAAAGAGGTGGCCGGTAGGACTGGGTTATCCTGGCTATCTTTCCACGCTTGTGATGGAGTTGAACCTTGCCTCAAACTTTCCGAGGACGAATTGGTGTCGCCTCTTGCACCATTTTCTGAGGGCAGTCCTCTTCTTGCTGGGAACAATGGGAAGCCTCCAAACGGTGGCTTCTTTCCCCTGGCATCCATGGATATGGGCGCCTTTTCTGTCCTGCCGCCGATCACAGGCGCCTCATCTTCCCCTTTTGAGGAATTTGAAGGAGCAATGCTGGGATGAGTCCCTTCCATGCTTCGCTGTGGTTGCTGTGACTTGAACGATGAGTCTTGTGACAATGGAAGTATATCGTTGGAACTGTTTGAGCCTGGCTGCGCATTTCGATCCTCTGTGTCTCCGATCGACTGTTGCCTTGAAGTGTCTGAAGGAGACGACGGCATATCTCTAGGTTCATGCACTTGACTGTAAGTTTGTTCGCGAAACGCCGCTTCAGAACGGTCGGTAGGATTGGGCCATCTATCATGTTCGTCGTCTTTGAATCTCGAATTGGAAAGCAGACCTTGTGTTTGGAGGAAGGGCAGCTTGGAGCCTTGAGAGGATGGTGCTGAGGGATTAAGGTCATTTTCGACATTTGACACGGAACGTGACGACGGGTTCTGCCATGAAGGACCACCGCTACCAGCATCGTGGCTTGATGCATTCAAGGCATCACGGTCACTGATTGCCATTTTTACGCTTCCCTTTTCAGTTTCTCGCCAGCGTTCATCGCTATCCCGCGGCATGGAAGTTAGATCCGTCATTAAATTATCAATGGTTTGCTGTGCTTTGCGAGGCTCGTGTGGACCCGAGTCCGCGGGCTTGACATTTGGTGAATGCAGTTCCTTCGATCCTTTCCCGTCCAAGGCGGCTAACAGATTATCGAGGTCGGCATGAGCCTTGCGCTGCTTACCAACGGAAGGCTCTGCGCCATGAGCCACTGGATCAAAAGCTTCCTGTGTATCATTTTCTTCAAGGTTGGACAACATCTTGTCAATGGCCTTGCCTGCCTTGCCGTTCTTGCCAGCAGTAGCCGTGGGCGATTTATGCTCGTTGATTGCGCCTTGATCAGAAAACTGTCCTACCGCATGATTAGGTGTCAATCTGCTGCCGCCTGGAGCATTATCTGCAGCATTGTCTGCGCGCATGTCACCAGAGAATGAGTCACTGCTCAGTCTCGCCTGCAGATCATTCTTTAAGTCGTCATTCATCGACTGACTGCGTGGTTCCGAGTCTCTCAAGTCTGGTAGACCTGCTGCCGGGCGTCCTAGTCGACCGGTATTGGTGACAGGCTCGTCCCACGAAGAGTTTTTGTCACGACTATGCGATGCGGGTGATCCGGGATAGGGGGGCGGAGGCGGTTGTCCTGAATCTGTCGAAATCGGCCCTCTGTCAAGACCGTTCAATGATGTGAGTGCGTTGGCGAAAGAGATATCGGATAGTCTGTCGTGAGGCTGCAATGCACTGTTTTCTTCAGGCAATGCTACATTAGCATGTGCTCCAGCTGGTGAAGCACGATAGGAGTCTTTTTCAGGGTACTGGTCGAGACCATTATCGGATGCGTCTGACTTTTCGCCCTGCGTTCTGTCCCAAAGGTCACGCTTTTTATCAGATCCTCCAGATGTGCTGGCGAACAATTTATGACCATGAGATCCATCTCGGCTAGCTAGTATATCATCCTCGAATGAGTTGTTACCTTCTGCTGGCAGCCTTTGTGGATTCGTTCCACCAGCTGGCAAGGCATTTTCCCTTGGTGAAGACTGATGATCAGATATCCCGAGTGTATCCGTTGACAGCCGTTGTTCCTTTGAGTCTCGTGGAGAAGTTTGAACGAACTTTTTGAAGGCTTCCTCATCGCTTTGCGACCATTCTGCGCCTCCGGTTGGTAGGATGGGTGACTTGAAATCATTCGCTCGTGATCTTTCGCCTAGTCTTGGGGTGCTTGGGGCGAAGTCTGCAAGACCCGGGTCAGCTGGGCCTGGTGAGTCTAGGCTGTTTTCACGAGAGTCATGGGGTGATTTCCGGTCGTTGCTTTCCTTGCTGGCGACGGGTGTAGTGCGTTCTTCATGAGAAGAAAGACCTCCAAAGGGAGACACGTCGTTCTGAACATCTTTTCCAGAGTCAGGATACCCCCGATCCCATCTTGAAGCATTTTGCGCTAGATCTTTGGCACTGGAAAAGGACTGGCCAATATTGCGAGGACTTTGCAAGGATTCCGCCAGAACTCCATCCTCATCTTCCGAGAGAACTTGTTCTTGGGTCCCCCGTTGGTCCAATTGAGGTACAATAGGTAGCACATCATTCAGGCCTTGCTCACTGTTATGCTGCATGCCAATCTTGCTGTCGTGGTCTCGATTGTGAAAGTTGGAGGTATAGTTGTCCTTGTCGAAGTGCTGAATCCGAGAATGGTCCTTTTGGTCACCATTGTATGCGTCTTCAAAGTCCCCCTTCCGATGATCACGCCCTATATACATGCTCTCTCTGTATTGATCTTCTTCATACTCCTCTTTCTTGAATTGGTCTCGGTTGAAGTCCTCCCCGAAGTCTCTTTCTCTGAATTCGAGGTCTGTATAGTCATTTCCTCCATAATCGTCACCTTCGTAATCGACCTTTTCATTGTTGCGACTACCGAACTTGTTGTCCTTACGACTTTCCTCGTCAGAATAGTAATCTTCTTCCACTCCCAGCCTCGCCTGCCTTGCGAGGTCATCTTCCTCACCCAAGTGTTGTGCAGACACTCCGCGAACCCGACCGTCATCAGATGAGTATTCGTTTTCCTTGCGTAGGTCTTTTCCGCTCTGAAAATCGCCCCGGCCCTTGATATACTCTTCGGACGACTTGCCTAATCGATTGCCCTCGGGCAGGAGATCATCATCGACACGAGCATCTCTATCACTCTGGAGGCCATCGCCGTCGACAACGTCATGTCGAGAGGAGAGATCCTCGAGCGGCGATCCGAAACCATCATTGTCTGTGGGAGAGTCACCTTCATCGCCGACATGATCATGCAAAGGCAACCGTTCCCTGCTCTCTCCGTGTGACAGGTAGCCAACCTTTGCTTTGTTATCGTCATAGGCTTGCTGGTCGACCACTCCCACACCAGCAAGGTTGCCGTCTTCGAGCTCGGAGTTGTCAAATGGTGGCTCATGATCATCGGGTCTACCGAAGCGGCTTGCATTGTCATCATTCACGCTATCAAAATTGACAATGTTCCCACTTCTTACGCCGTCAGCCAATGTTTGATCACTGGTCTCTTCGCTGAGACGTGGCCCGCTGTTGTTCATCACAACACCCAGAGGCGATCGTATGGGCTGATCGTAATCGGAAAGATCCTGTTCCTCGTTGCGCAGCAGATCTTCGTTGGCCATGTCATTTAGAGGCGATCTTTCCATGTTTTCACCCTCAGAGCCATATTCCTCGTGGCTAACGTGTTGGTCGCCTATTGGGAGGTTGTCAAGGACTGAGCCTGCCATGGTTCCTTCGAGGGAGCGGTGGTCATCGCTCAATAGCGCGTTCTCATGACCATCGTGGTCCCGGAATTCGTCAATGTGACCGTCATCGGTGGGGTCGTCATGCAAGGTATAGCCAGGCAGCTCGTTACGGAACTCATTGTCCTGGAACTTCTCTGCGAAGGGCTCTTCTCGATGATAGTCATCCTGTGGATAATCGTTGGCACGAGGGTCGGCTGCAGCGCCGCTCATAGGGATGTCAGTCTCGCTCACGTCATCATCCACGTTATAATCCCGAGGATTGTCCAAGTCTGTCGCTCGGTCGCTGTATTGTTCATTATGGAGTTCGCCCGCTGGGATCTGTTCATCATAATACCCATTCTGGTTTTCAACGCCGTATCTAGCGTCTTGGAAACTGTCCATCTGTGGTTCACCATCATAATCATCTCCTTCCAAGCCGCGACCGTATCGATCACCATATGCATCGTCATCCGGAGGGAGCTCAGCGCCACGGTAATCCTCTTCTGGTAACTCGTTCCGATATGCATCGTCATGTGCGTGATTCTCTAACGGGAGCTCTCCTTCACGATAATCGGTTTCTGGCAGCCCCTCGGCATATCTGTCGTTTTCCGCAGGGGCAATTCCATCATGATAATTCTCTTGGGAAAGGTCGTCATACCCATCCTCGCGATAGACGTTTTCATCTCCATACTTGGGCTCATCTTTGTATCCAGAATTCTCGTTGTATCCTATCTCATCTCCAGGATAGGCGCCATTGTCACGATAAACGTCTTCATCTTCATATGCATCTTCGTTTCCGTACTTTGGTTCATCTTCGTACCCAGCATTACCGTCATAACCCAGCTCTTCTCCGCTATAGGCGTCATTGTCATGATAAACGCCCTTATCTCCATATGCATCTTGGTTTCCGTATCCGGGTTCATCTCCGTACCCAGCATCGCCGTCATATCCTCTCTCATCTCCACGATAGGCGTCATTGTCACCATAGACGCCTTCGTCTCCATATGCATCTTGGTTCCCAAAACCATTGTTGGCTCCGTAGGCTCTATCTTCGCCGTACCCGGTCTCAGCTTCATAGGCACCATCTCCATACGTACCGTCGTCCCCATACTGATCATTGGCTCGATACTGATCGTTGGCTCGATACTGATCGTTGGCTCCATACTGATCATCGGCTCGATACTGATCGTCGGCTCGATACTGATCATTGGCTCCGTACGCCCCTTCGTCACCATATCCAGTCTCAGCTCCATAGGCGTCTTCATTGCCATACGCGCCTTCGTTTCCGTATCCAGCCTCATATCCACCTTGGTCATAGGCGCCTTCATTTCCATATGCAGCTTCATCTCCATATCCAGCCTCATAACCCCCTTGGTCTCCATAGGCGCCTTCATTTCCATAAGCTCCTTCGTCTCCATACCCACCCTGGTCTCCATATGCGCCTTCGTTTCCATAAGCTCCTTCGTCTCCATATCCAGCATCATACCCACCCTGGTCTCCATAGGCACCTTCATTTGCATAAGCTCCTTCGTCTCCGTACCCACCTTGATCCCCATAAGCTCCTTCATCGCCATACCCATCCTGGTCACCATACGCGCCTTCATTTCCATAAGCTCCTTCGTCTCCATATCCAGCATCATACCCACCCTGGTCTCCATATGCGCCTTCATTTCCATAAGCTCCTTCATCGCCATACCCATCCTGGTCACCATACGCGCCTTCATTTCCATAAGCTCCTTCGTCTCCATATCCAGCATCATACCCACCCTGGTCTCCATATGCGCCTTCGTTTCCATAAGCTCCTTCGTCTCCATATCCAGCATCATACCCACCCTGGTCTCCATAGGCACCTTCATTTGCATAAGCTCCTTCGTCTCCGTACCCACCTTGATCCCCATAGGCTCCGTCATCGCCATACCCACCTTGATCCCCATAGGCTCCGTCATCGCCATACCCACCCCCATCTCCCCCATACATACCATCATCACCACCATATGCCCCCTCATCACCGCCATACATACCATCGTCACCATATGCTCCTTCATCACCACCGTACATCCCATCATTATTGCCGTAACCGCCATCGTCACCACCATACATACCGTCATCTCCGTATCCACCATCGTCTCCATATGTGCCCTCACCATATGCACCGTCATCGCCGTAAGCACCGTCATCGCCGTACGCGCCGTCATCGCCGTACGCCCCTTCCTCACCGTACGCGCCGTCATCGCCGTATGCCCCTTCCTCACCGTACGCACCGTCATCTCCAAATCCGTCATCACCATATGCACGTTCTTCTCCATAAGCATCATCATCATATGCACCCTCATCTCCGTAAGCATCGTCGTCAAATGCACCCTCATCTCCATAAGCATCATCGCCAAATGCACCCTCACCTCCGTAAGCATCATCGTCAAATGCACCATCATCTCCATATGCGTCATCATCATACGCACCATCATCCTCAGGAAAGTCGTCCTGGAACCCTTCGCCAAGCTCGTCTCCATCTATAGGGTAGTCATCTTCAGGGTAGTCCTCCTCAGGATAGTCCTCCTCAGGGTAGTCCTCTTCGGGGTAGTCCTCTTCAGGGTAGTCCTCTTCAGGGTAGTCCTCTTCGAACGGTTCTTCCCCATCGAAGGGCCCTTCCTCATCAAACGGCTCTTCCTCAAGGGCCTCATCTTCGAATGGATCATCCTCCAAACCCTCGTCCTCAAACTCACCTTCTTCATCAAAAGGCTCATCCTCAAAAGCTTCTTCTTCATCATATGCTTCTTCATCTTCCAAGGGGCCCTCCTCACCTGAGAATTCTTCTCCTTCTCGACTCAACTCTTCTGGGAGGAGAGGAGGCTCTTCCCCATCATTAGACGGTTCGTGCTCTGGTTCCTCCTCAACCTCTGACTCCTGTGGCGTGTACATCGGATCAGATTCCTCGGCTGGTCCTACATCTTCAACAAGCGGACGTCGGCTGGCGACCAGGGGTTCGACCAAATCATATGAGCGGACCAGAGCTTTAATACCAGACAGCAGTTTGTGCCAGCCATCTTTGTCACGTACGTCTAACGGCGCTGATCGCTCGATGTGCAGCGAAAGTCCTTTTGGTATGTCGCGAGGAATTTCTCTGCATGAGGGAGAATTGACGGCATCGATATACTCACGATCACTGAAACATCTCACAATCTGAACGTTCTGCTTGTCGACCACAAGAAGGAAGGACTGTTGGATTCACCAGTCAGCTAGTGAGCGAATGTTATGATATTCATCTTACCTGCAGGGTTTGCAACCTAGAATCGTCCTGTTGGTCGCCTTTAAACCGGTCCAGATCAAGGACACGCGCCTGGGCTTGAGCCATTGCCAGTAGGATGGCTGCCTGTTCTGCAGATCGCGAGGACTGTTTGCGCAGAGACCAGTATTTTTCGAGCCGCTCAAGGCCGATTGTGCCGGCTGGTTCGTAAAAATCTTCATTCATCGGCATGATTGCAGCGATCGGAAATCTTTCTGTATAATCGCCCGAAGGAAATGCATGGATACATTTCGACGTGCGAAGCTTGAATTGCTGCACACCAATGCGCAGCCAGAGAATATCATCTTCATTAGTACTAGTATCACAAGTTAATCAGTATTCTCATAGAAGTAATGATACAAAAAGCTCAACTTACGTTGGTCGGTATTTTTTCACTCTTCGATGTGCATTGAATTTGTCCAATAAATCGGCACACATGGAGCTCGTGGCTCTTTCGACACCACCAGTTTCATCTTTACTTAGTCCTGAGCGAAATTTGGCTTGCTCACGGGTGGAGAGGAGATCCCCGTCTTCGCCTCGTGGTCGATCAACCGATGTCATGGTCTCTAGAAGGTCGCCTAATAACTCTTCGGATTGGATATCCCTCGATTCGTCTATCTGAAGCTTTTCCGCCATTCCGTGCCTCCATGTATATGGGTGCTTGAAGCTTCGATTCTGAAGGGAAGCATTGTCCGAGGCCTCAGTCTGCTCCACAGCAGGTTCGATGATAGGGGTTGGCGGGTCGCGTAAAGCGCCGCCAGCCAGCAAATCCTGTTGAAACTGCCGGATTCTGCCCGAAGTTTTTAATCGCTTGCCCCTAGCACCAAAGTTGAGGTATTGCGTTAACATTGAGTCCTGGCCTAAGCTGAGTAGAGAGTCTCCGGTAATCCCCTTCTCCTCAAAAGCCTGGCAATGTTTCTGGTCAATGCCTAATTGTCGTAGGTAGCCCGCTGTCTGTTTCTGGTCCCATCCTCTCACCTCCTCTTCTGCAAGAAACTCTCCGTCTCCCTCGTCCTCCGGTATCCTATCCAACTGCATTTCACCACCCACATTGTTGGGGGCTTCGCTTGTCGGGTCCAGCGACGAGTCGGCCTCAATATAAGGGTCATTTTCATCTGGAAATGTATCGTCGAAAGGCTGTTCATTAGGGTCCTGCTCGTAAATGTCCTGCGTGTTATTAGCTTCCTCGTCCATTATATCTTGGTCAGTATAAGTAAAGCCATCAACCCCGTCGAGGTCGGCTTCTTCACCCTCCATTTTTCTTCCTGCCTAGCTGGTATCTCCCCAGAAAGCGGGGTCTCGGGCACGGGCAACACTGCGAAATGGAGGAAGCGAAAGGAGGAGAAGGAGAAGGAGAACGAGAGGAGAGACGAGTAGAGAAATCAAGGAAGACGAAAGGAGTGATGCTTCAGAGAGGGCAACAGCTATGGCAGGCACACATTGTGATTTTTGCCGAAGTCATCTATTCCTCTAAGATGCCCCGTAGCTTGCTCCAACGCCTCTGATAGTGCCTCCCGACCTACCTGGCAAAGCTGGCACGGAAAATCCCATCGAGGTGAACGCGACACGCTTCCTGTTTCGAAGTTCTGCTGAACCTGCGGCGACCTGAGTCAAGCGGAGTCGAGTTGGTGAAACTGGCGCCAGACCCTTGGCACCCACCAGCACCCACAGGCACACACCTACCACGCCAAACCCTTCCTGGCAATGAAGCCCACTACTGCACCTCATCCTGCCCCATTCTCTTTCTCCCCGTCGTCTCATCATTTCTATTTCAAGGCCGTAGACTGTGACAGAAGGCCAAACCATGCCAACATATCCCTCTATTCTGCTGCATGTCCTACCCACCGGCCTTGCCTCACAAGCAAGTGCCACAAGCTCCTGGCAAGGCCACTTGCTTCAGAAATGGTTCTTCAAACTTCAAACATCTCGGACCGGGTCACAGCAGAGCCTTTCGTACCTATTCCTCCTTTCAACACCTTTCCTCGCTTTCATACTGTTCTGCTTCTTGACTTTACATTCTGTATTTAGTACTTTTCATTTGTTAGTTGGTGCGAGATGCTTAATCTTCTCAAATCCGCCATTAAGAAAGACTCGAGCACAAAAGGAGAGGCCAATGGCGGCAACCTCGACGACTTCTTCACGAACGGGGTGGAGAAAAATGGACTCAGTAGTACCCCCTCAGCAGGTTTGACGAGCAGAAAGAATGGTGAAGGAAATAGAGGCCTCCGATCCATACGGAATGAATTTAGAGCTTCGGAATATGGTCTGGTGATAAAAGATCTTGACAAGGAGAAAGAGGAGTCGGCCCAGAGCCAATTAAAGTTGGCTCAAAATGATACGGCACAGCATCAGGCGGAAAACAGTGCACCGCAAGATGCCATCGAGGCACCAGGTAGAACAGAAGAGGTGAATGCGCAAGCGCGACCACCTTCTAGCCCAAGCTTTCGCGAGGGAGGGAGTTCGACAGGACCAACCCTCGAAAGTGTTGACAAGCAAGGCCAAGACCCGGCAGACAATGAGAATCTGCAGAGCACTGAAATTGCGCCTGACCAACAGACTAACGGCCGAGCCGAAGGAACCGAATCAAGAGATCTTGTTCACGAAACAACACAAGAGACAGGAGTACCCGACCTTGCCGGATTGAATTCTCGAGATTTTGATGAAGATGCCACTACAGGACTGGGTCACACTGACCTACGAGATGAGAACGAGGGACCTGCGCAAAGCAGTCTAGATCAGGACGAACACGAATCTCCCCACGACGAGCATCTTCCGAATTACCACAATGACGAGGAGCAAGAATTTGGCCAACAAGCGTTAGAGGAGCAAGCTGCGTCAGGCATGGACGACACTATGGAAGGGGCCATTGAGGAGGATGTCGAGATAGATCCTACCCAGCTCGACGAGGGATTTGAAGATGGGGAATGGAACCCTCGGGACTTGGACGCAGAAGACGCCGAAAATCACGATCGCCTCAATCCGCAACATCCTGATGACCTTGACAGCTATGCCGGCACCATCGACGACCCAGCTGATGGCAACGACGCTATGTACGGTGATCAAGGCCATGATTATGAGGATAACCAGTCATACCAAGATTATGGCAGTGAAGATGAGGCCAACCTCGAAAGCGCAATGTCTCCAAACCATGACGACGTAGACGGTAGGGATGACTTTCCAGATATTGGTGATGAAGAAGGCGCAAACCCGGAAGACAACTACTCGAACTATGACGAGCCACCTTTAGGAGACCATGATGACTTCGAACCGGAAGACAGATATCTAGAATCGGACCAAGAGCAAGGTGAGGGCGATAATCTCAAAGAACCAAATGACGACTTTGCCGATGACGACGTTGGTTCGCAAATGGCTGATAGCCTCGGGCAGGATGAGACCGCTCTTGACGAAGGTAATGAGCCATCTCACGTGGGTGACGGCTTTTCTGAGAATAATATGGAAGAACATCGCGAAGGAATTGATGATACTCTGTATCGAGATGATGAGTCCCTCGGGGAAAGCTTTAACCCCGATGCAGCTGAACAGATGTCAACCACTTCAGAACATCCTTTGATGGAAGAAGATGAGCCTCTAGAAGGAGACGACCCTCCAGAGCATGATGACGACGTGGATGCAAATGACGGCCTTGATCGCGATGAGGACGAAGATGGCAAGTTAGAGGGAGATGATGACCCCTACGGAGGAGACGACTTAGAGGCCGCTGATGAGCAGTCGTTTATTGCCGAGTCTGCAGCAGCAGAAGAGGAACGATCTGACCTTGGAGAGGACTTCGGAAGTCAGGCCCATGGGGACGAATCAATAGTTGATAACCCTCTATCGATCCCAGGGAGAGAATGGACGCAGGAACATTTGGCTGCCTTTCAGATCCATGTACGGTCCAAATCAAATATCTTTGACTTTCTGATTCAGAAGGGTGTCTTGAATCGCGAAAGGGTGCCTGAGGTTATCGTACAGGCTCTCAAGTTGTGCCTAAAGGACACATCGAAGGACGACACAACTGCTTTGCGACACAAAAAGCATGCAACTGTTTTCATGGAGGCTGGTGGCACACCACTCGGTCCGTATTTGGCATTTCTAGCCCTCACTGTCCAATCCACCATGAACTCATCCAAGGATGGGACAGATAAAGACGGGCAAAAACAAAAGGACGAAGAGAGGCCAAGTGATGAGGAGGAATCCAAACCAGTCGCTACAAACGACGAAGATGATCCATGGGATGATGATTTCGGCCTTGAGGACGGTCTGGAGGCACCCCCTAGTTATTTCGAGGCACCCAAGGCTGTGCAAACCGCGCCAAAATCTGGGCACGATAGTGATACACGCTCCAAGCGTCCAGAAGTTGCAACTAATATCATGGTTGTAATGTACCTTCAAGCTATTCTTGAATCCTCTCGCGCCCGGGTCTCAGAACCTGCAAAAGCATATTTGGAATGGACGTTTATTCCCCAGCCTTTGCAGATCAACTCGGAGCCTGCCAGTTGTAAGGATGAAAACAACGGATCGCTCCATGAAAAGAGAGAGAAACTTACCGCTGGTGACCACAAGAAGTGGGAGGACGTCAATCCTTTGGAGTATGTTTCGATTGGGGTGAGTCCACTCGCACCAACTGCCGTGCGCTCTGCTGACTGACCTCTCAGACCCAACCAATGTATAGTAAACAACATTATATCGACTCGCACGACATCAAGGCCCAGGAGGCGGCGCACATGATTGCTATGATCTGCGAGCGTCTACGAGTTTCCAAGACAACACTGTCCGAGTACGATCGAACGTGAGTTGCATCTTCCACCCTTAGCCTAAGCAGCACGTTATATGATAATGCTGACTATGCTTTCCCAGGACTTTTGTCATTACGTCGTCTGCCACTTCTATATCTTTCGCCTACGCTGTGTTCACGCTTGAATACATCAAGTATTACAAGCTTGAAGAAGGACAACCCTCAACCCTTACTCCTGAAATGGAAGACATAATCATTGATCCTGAGGATTCTAAGCCCGAACTGAACATTTTTGAAAGCGTTCCATACGATTTATCGAGGTGGGACGAGGCACTTGAAGCTGGAGAGCTTGCTGTAGCTATCGTGGAATATTTGCAGCTTAATGGACCACTACTCGCCGCAACGGAAGAAGTTCCACCCTTAAGCCCGGACGATGGCTTAAACCGTGCAACATCAGCAGCTAGCTCGAAATCGGCTTTCGATGACTCAGGTAAGAGATTCCCTATCAGAATCCGTCCTCACATACCAGAAGAACCAATCTCGAGTGAAGATGAGACGGCGAGTAATGGAGATGCTGAAAATGTGTCAGACAAAGGACTGCCCACACCCCTTTTCGAGGACCAGGATGAAGGACTAGAAGAAGATGTCGATGATGGCCAAGAGGATATGAAGGAGGGTCAAGAAGAGGGTGGCTCTGATGGAGGAGATGGACTGGAAGAGGATGAAAATCATGAGGACAAAGGCCCGGACGAAGACCCTGAAAATGAAGAGGCCTCCCTGGAAAACGATGTCGAAAGAGAAGGCTTTGATGAGGAAGGGCTTGATCAAGACGGTGTTATGGAAGACACGCTCGACAAGGAAGATCCCGAAGAAGAAAGGTTTGATGGTGAAGCTTTTGACGACGAGGGCCTGGATGAGGAAGGCTTTGATAGAGATGACTCTCATGGAGAACTTTTCGACGAAGAGTTCGATGCAGAGCACTCTCGGATGGACAGTATGTATGACGAAGCTGATGCAAACGGAGACGGAGAATACAGCGACGAGGAGTATCAAGAAATGGGCTCAGAGGGACGAGCAGAAGAGGACTTTGAAGGCGAGACGGCGGAAGTTGACGGTCTGGATGATACGCTTGCAGACATTCCCGAAGAAGACTCTGCATATGGAGAAGAAGGTTCTGCATATGGCCAAGGAGGTTCTGCTTATGGTGAAGGTTCCGCATATGGAGATGAAGACTCGGCACACCGCCAAGCAGAAGCCGATAGTTATTCTCCAGCCGAGCCTCTGGAATCGCCATTTCCTGACGAAAGTGGAATGGCAGATGGACCGGATGATCAAGCAAGCACGTACTATGAAGATCAGTACATGCCAGAGCACAGTCCTGGAATGGACGATTATCCTCCTGAGGAGCCTACAGAGGATGAATATGTCTCTGGAGAAGATGACGGTGAGAACTTCGATGAATATGCCTCCGATGGTGCGCAAACAGACATGGACCATGAAGACTTCGCACCAAGAGCGGACAGTGGAAACGAAGACGAGTATATATCTGGAGAGGAGTATGGTGAGAATTTCGATGGTGAGATTTCAGACGGCGCAACACAAGCGGGCCTCGATGATGAAGAGTTTGCGCTCGAGCAGAAGCTTGGGTATGAGGATGACTACATGACAGGAGATGAATATGGTGAGGACTTCAGCAATGATATCTCTGACGGCGTAACGCAGGCAGAATTCGATGATGATGACGAGCTTGCGCTTAGGGAGAAGCTTGGTGATGACTATCTATCAGGAGGAGAAGACGTCGAAGAGTTCCATAACAACATTTCAGATAGCGCTGTACAAGCTGGGTTCGGCGATGAGGAGCCAGCCTTTGAGGAGGACCAAGGCGAAGCCGATTATCTATCAGGAGATGATGACTATCAACAAGGGGATAACGGCTATGAATATGGAGCCAGCGGTTATCAATCCGACGGCGACGACTATCCCTCCGGAGTAGGTGACTATCTACCAGAAGAAGGCGGCTATCCATCGGAAGAGGAAGATGATCTATCAGGAAATGACAATCGTGCCGAACTCCCAGATGACATCCCAGAGGAAGCGAGAGTAGTAGAACTAGACGACGAGGAGCTCCCGCTGGAGCAGAGCGGCATTGAGGGAGACTCATACTCAGACCACGAAGAAGACAGTCATTTCGAAGCTGCTGAGGACACATATCATGAAAATATGGATTATGATCATGGTTCAGAGGTCGATCCATCAGAAGAATTCATGCCACGACAGGACGGCCAGCGGTATGAGGGCGATGACTTTGAGGATTCTCTACATGGTGAAGACGAAAGAGAAGTCCCGTTTGATGAAAACCAGCCTGAATATGAAGACCAATACGAAGGGCAAGGTTTCGATGACTCTTATGAAGCCGACGAAACTCAGCAAGAGTTCTCAGCTCATGGACGCGACGACTATTCCGATGTTGACCATGCAGATGATCCAACGACCTCAGTACGAGAAGACGTTGACGAAACTCAGCATTCACCGCACCTCCAGGGCGTTCCTACTCCTTATCAAGCTAACGAAAAACCCCTCCCGCCCATGCCCGCCGAGCACTTCGAAAAGGATGGAGTCACTAAAGTTCATGCCTCCAAAGAAGATGTCAAAAGCCAGGATCACTCCGCACAGGAGCCAGCCGAAGAAGACCATTCTCAGGAGACCCTTCCTGAAGCAGCCTACGATCCCAATCATTCCAAACCCACTCAAGAACCATCCCAAAATCCCAAAGAACCAGAACTTCCCGATCAAGACTTTCGGTTCTCCTTTCCGACCCCGGATCAGAATCAAAACCAGAACCAAGATCAGGACCAGGACCAGGACCAGGACCAGGACCAGGAGATCGGCGAACGCCCAGAAGACCAGCAACACCTACAAGAAGAATATCCACCCGAAGAAGGAGAAGAAGAAGGAACAAACTTCGAGGAAGAAGAATACGACCAAACCCACGGTGATCAACATGACCGACAATTTGAACAACAACACGATTACGACCAGGAGTACGACGAACAAGATTACGACCAGAATTACGAACGACAACAACACGAACCTCAATACCCAGCAGAAGGAGAGACTCAAGACCGAGAACCCCAATACGGCGATCCAGTCGAAGGCTACCTCTTCGACCCGGAGACCCAACAATACTACCCCCTCGACGAGAACGGCCAACCTTACATGCCCGAAGAACAGTATGAACCGGGCCAGGGCCAGGAGCAGGAGTACGAGGAGGAGCCGCAGGCCTATTACGCCAAAGAAGACGCGCGCCAGATGAAGAATGCGCCTGACAGAGAGGCGTATGATGGTCAAGGCTACGGCGACGGCGGTGGCGGTTACGATGGCGCGGGCTATGACGGCCACGGATACGGATACGGATATGGAGGGGAAGGGTATGCGTACGATGAGCAGCAGCACCAGCAGCAGCAGCTGGGCCACGGCGTCTATGATGATCCTCGAGCAGGAAAGGGCATGATTACGCAGGTGCACGCGCGGGCGCAGCCGGTGGGGAATGTCTTTTAGATTGACCAGCTGACTTGGCATGTTTGATTGGAAGATATCATGTTTATATACACTTTCGATTGCTTTTTCCTTCTCTTCACTTCTCTTCGTATTTTCATGGCGGGGCAGAGCCGGTGGGATTTCCGTACTTATGCGAATTCAGACCAGGGTTGCATGGATGGTAGGTTAGGTTAGGTTAGCGAAGCGAAGCGGTGTTTTTCTTCACTATTTGTGTGATCTGTTATCTGTTTTATTACTGGTACTGAATCGGTTGGTTACCTACCTACCAGCACCCAGCTGATCTATCTCCCGATCTGACTGGATTTGATATATAAACTAAAGAGCCTTTCTTACCACGTATCAGAAGACGAATCCAAATCCAGTCAACCGACCAACCCGGCCCACCCCGCTACCCTCCGGCGATATAACCAGCCACTCTGATGGTTGTCTGCATCCTTCTTCTCCTTCTCCGAATCGCCCTTTGCCATTGCCTTCGCCTTCGCATATCTAGAACCGAACTTCGCATTCCCGCTCCATCTCCCGCTCCCATCCCGGCTTCCGTCGTCACCATCATCATCGTCCTCCTCCTCCTCATCATCATGACGATCCCCAAACCCGGCCCTCAGAATCGCCTTCCTGACCCCCTCCACCGTGCCCACCCCGGCCTTGGGCGCCGGCGCCGCTCGTCATGACGGTGTAGGGATTCAGACAGGCGCATGCGCTACTCACTCTGGTGGCGTTGTTGGAACAGCCGGTGCTCAGCCAGGTTGGGATGGAGAGAGTGGTGCTGCTGGTAGGGGTAGGGGTAGGGGCAAGAGCGGTTTTAGCGGAGTTTGGAGGGGTGGTGCTGGTGGTGGAGGTTTTGATGACGCCGTTTGTCGTCCCAATTGTTGCGGTTGGGGTTGCGGTTACGGTGCCAGTGTTGGTGAATGATCTGCAGAGCGCAGTGGCTGCGCCGGCGTAGCGGGTGTTCCGGAGGGCGCGGAGGCAGTTGTCTGGGTGGCATTTTGGTGGGGTTAGTGCTGCTGCTGTTCCTGAGGAGGTGGCTGTAGTGGTGGGTTTGGGGGAAGATGGAGATGGAGATGGGGACGGGGTGATGGCGGGTCTAGAGGCGGGCGTGGTAAAAGGGACTGTTGGTGACGTGGGCGTATTGCTCGTGGGAGTCGTGGTTGGGGAAGAGGAAGTAGGGACTTTCTTGGAGGGCTGTTGGTTGGGTGGGGGAGAGGTGGATGTGGTGGGTTGGATGGGTGCAGGAGACGGAGAAGACGGAGACGGCAGTGGACTTGCAGTAGATGAGCTTACCACCCCCTGAGTGCCGCTGCCTGATGATTTGGAGGTTAGAGTGCTGGAGGATGATGAGGACGATACTGATTTGGATGTAAAATTGAAAGTGCCTGGGCCCGTCTTGTTGACCAGTGCTGGATCCGGATGGAGAGGATCGAAGACGGGTCCCGAATTTGGGTAGCTGGGGCTAGCTGCTGGAGAGGCACTGAATGAAGCAGGGATGCTTGCTGAGGTAGAAGAGGAAGCCAGACTTGAGGATCGGCTGCTTACGGCTGATGATACGGCAGACGACAAGCTAGACGAGCTGCTGCTTGCAATTGACGATATGGAAGGTGACAAGCTGGAGGACCTACTAGTTGCAGAAGTGATGGAGGACAATGATGAACTGGTCGAGCTGCTTGTGCTGGCGATGCTAGAGCTCGAAGTCGGGGTTGATGTTGTGTTTAAGCATTTGATGCTTTGCCAACTGCCGCTCTTGTCGCCATACTCATACTGGGAGCATGGATTCGCGTTGCTGATCTTGACACTTTTGACATAGGCAGTGAAAGGTGCCTTGGTGAAGTCGGTATAGCCTCCAGCCCAGCTGACCGTATTCGGATGGCTGTTGGGATCGCCAGCACACCATACGCCAAGATGCAGCTTGGAGGGCGATTGCGGATATTGATAAGCACCGCTGTTGGTGTCTGCAGCCTTGAGTGTACGAATAACCTGTCCGTCAATCGCCCATGTGAGGGTTGTAGGACTCCAATCAAATGTGTAGGTGTGGAATTTGTTGATTGGGTCGTCCATGTCAGGTTGTGTGCCACGATCCCAATATCCCGTGATGCCCTTACCGAAGTAATTGGTCTGAACCTTTCCGGTGTTGTGACCAAAGTTGTTTCCAGACCATTCCCAGTCAATCTCATCTTGGTCATCCGACATCAAGACTGCGCTGCTGATCATCCCTATGCCTGGAGCTGCTTGCATCACTACCTCGACTCGACCGAATAGGATGTAGAAGCTAGTCCAGATGTACGGTGCTTCAAATCGCTTGTTGAAGGTAAACTCAGCACCGTTGGCGCCATACTTGACCGTTGCATAATTGGCAAGAGTCCAACCTTCAGGAAGTGACGAAACTTTGGTGAAATCGACATAGAAATCTCTTTTCGTAAGGCCAGGGTTCGGTGGGCATGTAGCTAGGACCAGCAGGTTAGTCACCTAGGACACCAAATCATACAAAGAGAGCCCTTACATGTCAGTGGATTGCACTGGGCACTGGCTTGTGGCAGAATAAATGCCAGTGAAGCTACTGCCCATGCCAGGAGCGATCTCTTGGAAAACAGCATAGTGCAAAGTGTACAGACGTGAATAGGAAGCAGGAAGCAGGAAGCAGGAAGCATCTAACTTGGCACGAGAGTCTGCACTCATAAGCGCACTGGGTGCAAAGGCACATCAATGGAAATGGTGGTCATCGAGACCGGCAAGGGGAACAAAGCAATCATTGCAGATATTTTCCAAGAACGGAAGCGGAGGTCAGACAAAAGGATCAAGATTGAGAGATAGTCAGCTAGAAAAACAAAAAACAGAGAACGCTGAAGAAGTGCCCTTTCTTTCAACCAAGTAACTTGTTGCGAAATTGCTGATCGCTATACCAGTCGCGACCGGCTTTGTCAGATAATTGCATACTGGTCGTGGAGATCACCGTTGCTCTGTGCAGAACGTATTTGCACCAAGACTTAGATCCCCAGGGTCAGGAAGACTTCATCTAGCCCATGGAGTCAATATGCGCATGTGCAAGCACAGTTACAGGTCGACAGGAGTTCGCCTCACATGGACGCTCGAGGCGAGTTCGACTAAGGAAGGAATGCGCCAAGAAATGAACATCCAGAATGACGCTTTGGTAGTTGAAGCTGCTGGTCTGTGCCTCACATCAAAAAAAGGGTGACTTGCATCCAAAAGAAGGGAAACCAGAGGGCCGGATTGCACCAAGTAGCAGTGAGGCCAGGAACTGCCAGATGTAACATCAAGGAGCGGTCGATTGTGGTGGATGTTCTCCTGAAGTAAGCATGGTTCCAGGATGAGTATCTACATCCAGCAGAGAAACAGAATGACTTGGACGATTCAAGCGGCCTGACCCCCCTTTTTGCGATGCTGACAAGAGCAGATATGTGCGTCCAATGTATATGTTGTTCTTTGAAGGAACTCATTGAAGGAGCCAAGGACGGGAGACTAATCGAACGAGAAGTAAATAGAACCAACAGCATACTTCGCACAAACAGCCAGAGCGTATTCGGGCACGAACGAGGTGAGCGCTCGGCCCTTGTTCTTATAATCCAATGCTGGAAGAAGAAGTAATACCCCAATGTTGGCCCGAAAGCCCGCATGTGCATCGTGCCATCGTAAATGCCAGCATTCCCAGTCCACTTAAGTTTATGAGGATTTCGGACTTCCTCTGTTGTCGGCTATCGACAAATCCGAGCGCAGGAATGGAAGACCAGCCAAAGAGCAATGGCGCCAGGAACTCGAGCTCTGTCTAGCTAAGACTCAGATATGAAGAGCTATGTGCAAAAGAGAATTAGCATTGCACATCACTATTGTCAGCTGATACTTCGTACTCACAATCATCATGTGGAAGCATTTGTTCGACGGCACACTTCCGCAATAATTGTCATATTTCCACCACCTTCTTGCAAATTATTCTTTCGATCATACGCTGTACTTTGGAGGGACGATTTTCTTCTTTCACATTGCTCGCACCTCTCACAATAGCCCCTCTGGCTCTTTTAGGTCCATGTATGACTCGGTTATCGCCAAAGAAACAACCATGTCTCTAACCTGATAAGCCAGCCTTATGACCAACAAAACTAAGCCCGTTTACCATAGCCAGCAATTAGACTTTTGGTCACCGGTTCATTGAGGCTAGCTGGCACCACGTAAAATCTCTTCTAGTCTGCTGACTGCTGTCATCGGATGCTGTCAACCTCCTTCTCTTCCCGTAGCAGCATCACTTTGCACTCGTCACCCCTTCGAATGACTCGCGCGCCAACAATGTATTCAGCACGGCACAGTTGAAGGCGGCTTCCCCGGGCGGCACCACCACAAACACATATGTATTATCCGTAAATCTTGACAGGAACAGATTAAACTGTGCTGTCTGAAGTTTGAGCAAAACGAAACCAGCGGAGGCTGGTGTATTCGACGTATTACGCGCAACGGTGTGCTTGTATGTTTTGAGGATATTTGAGATGCGCTCGTGGCGGTCGAAATTGGGGTTACTGTCATCTTCTGGCGTGCTTTCGTTTGTCGGTGAGTCGGAGGGCGGAGAATTCGATATAGGCGCCTTGTGTTTCGGAAGTGGTTTTGTGTTGTTTACAACAGAGGTGACCGTGAGGAATGTAGAGCGTTCGAGAAGGACAATCTCCTCTGCTTTGATAGCTTTTGCAAACGCGTGCAGGAATCTCTCAATCACCGCAAGGTTTGGGATCAATTTATGCACAATTCCAGCCCACGCCTTGTAAAGGCTCTCATCCCAGATGCTACTCGCGAATGTCTCCAGGTCGAAACCTTCACTCCTCTCCTTCACCAGCTGTGCTCGTTCCAAGTAAAGATGCTCCTTATGCTCGAGCTGTATCAAATCCATTTTGTGTATCAGGCAAAAGACATATGCTGAAGGAGAATATTGGTGTAGAGCTCGGATGATGGTAGAGTAGGTGTCTAGATCACGATCGACCTCTCGTGACTCAATGTCAAAGACGTAGATGAGGACAGCAACATCGGAAAAGATGTTGGATCGCTGGGCGGAGACATACGAATCCATGAAAGCGTCCTGCCTGTTGGGTATGCATTAGCACCACTAGGACGACTCGGAAACTTGGGGCAGCGGAGTGCACACACCCTCCACAGTCCCAGAGATTCAAGGTCAAGTTTCCCATGAACTTGGCATGGCTGTACTCGACATCAATGGTTGCCCCGAGCCTTCGAACGTCCTTGGCGACGAAGTTACTGAAGATGACGGAGCGCATGGAAGATTTGCCAGAGCCACTCTTGCCCATCAAGAGGACTTTCTTCTTCCGTTTGCGGGCGTCCATATTCACACCAGGAAGCGGGGTCTCTGAGTGCGGGTAAGCAGAGTCCCTGTTCTTGTCGAAAGAGTGCTCTTCCTCGCTCTCGTGGACAGCATCGAGTTCCTCAAAGTAGCCTGCTCTTAGAGATCGACCTTGGGTACGAAGGACCTGCGGAGGATGATCTGAGCTCGAGTTTGAGCCTGAGCTTGATGGGAGAGGTGCATGATGGTCAGTGTCAACCAGCCATCTCGGTAAAATCTTGAGCTTCCTCGGCCCGAGAATTTTCCGTTAGTGGCGGATTATCTGACCATCAGGCCGCTTGGAAACTGTGGTGGGAAGTGGAAGCAGAGGTGTAAACATGGGCAAACATTATGTGCCACGCTAAAGAGCAGACCAGATACGGACGTCGCAGGCCAGAGATAGACTGGGATAAGTCGTGGCGTGTCAACGCTGCGTCATGAGCCTTGGGACTACAGCCTGCGTACCACGGTGGAGTCAGTACCAGTTCTGTCGAGCCACATTCTCAATGATAGACAAGCGTGCTGGTTGTGTACGAAGCGGATGATTGGGGTATGTCATTTGATGTCCGAAAGAAACATCAGTCCTGCGGCAACAGCAGAATGATGTATGCTACGAGTTTTAGCGAGCTGTGCCCATCATTCATTCATGTCTCATTCATAAAGGTACCCATCCCGAACACCCGCGCTTTGCAGCTGAATTCGAATTTTTCTCCCAGCTCGTGAGTGAGAACGTATTTCTTATGCTGGGCGCAAAAGAGCACTGTGGCTAAAACACAGTCCCATCTGAAATAATCATAATGGGTGGCTCTTTAGTATTAGGCCTAGATACCTCAGCAATCTCGCGGCCTCCCTATTTTCTTATCAGCACCAAATATACACGCAACGGTAGGGCAAGACTTACCTTCCACGAACCGGCCTCCAACATCTGAGCAAGCGAGAGACGGTTTTCACCAGTCAACCGCAGACGCTGGTTGACAGCATCTAGAAGCATGTCAAGAAAGCCAACAGTAAGTGCTCTCCACTCCACAATGACATCGTCTGCAGCTTCGAACATCGGAATGACTTCCATGCTTGGCTGTCCGGTGAGCTCGGCATTGTGCTTGTACGCAACAATTCCTCGCTCCATATCCGCGACCTTCAATGTCAGTAGGCCTGTATCTATCAATAAACCACCATTGCGATATTCGGGCAGTCCAGTCAGAAGCTCGCTTCCTGCGAACTGAATGTTCAAAAGCTTGGTCATGGGAACCATGAGCGAATAGCACAGCCACTGAGTCAGCTTGTGGAAGGGAACAATGTTCTCCCATGGCTGAGCTGGAGGAGATCTGGGCATGCTGGAGCACGGCCATGCATCTCCAATCGAGACACCATTGATTTGGGTTCTAGAAGCAGGCCAGATTGGTGCCAAGCCGTCGGTAAGAACCTCCCATAAGGTTGGTAGAGAAACAATGGGCACAGATGCTGCCTTTGTTGTGGGATGTGACAGTAGGTAGTCTACAGATCATCAACAGGGCTATGAGATTGATACCACACGTATTGTCTTACCTATCATATTGCCGGGTCTGCCGTCAGAGCCAAAAAGCTTCGTGTTAGCCATTGCGTCCGATAACCTCATTAGCAGACCGGCTCGACCTTCAAGGCCTGCCATCGGATTGTCTTCTGAGACCTGCATGCCTCTTTCCAGCAATTTCAAGGTTATTTTCTTCAACCCGTCCTTGTCGACTCTGTGAGGTGCTCCTGGATCACTACTGAACGCACCCGTCTTGAACATTTCCAGGCTCGCAACAGCCAACCCTTCACTTCTTCGGTACGCCTTGCCAGATTCTTTGGATCTGTAGGACCATTTATTTCCTGCACCCGCATCAAGCAAGACCGAGACTGTGAAGAGATCAATGACACGACGAGCTCTCTCTTGAGCGTCCACGGTGCTAAGCCAAGACTGAAGCAACTGGTCTACACGTGGACGGCCGCCAACGTCGAAGTGCTGCCACCGCCCGTGAGGCGGTATTGACTGGTAATCGTCTGCAAAGTCTCGCTGAAAAAAGTTTGAGCAAAAGGAACCGGGGTAATGTTAGAGAGCGTTATTGCACATACCCTAATTATAGAAACCACATAATTGGCAGTATTCTGAAACATGTCCATGTTAACATCAAAATGGTTCAGACTGTTCGAACTGGCTTTTTCCATCACCAGCTTGGATCGCTCGCGGACAGAGTGAATGCTTTTGAGATATGCAGCAGGATTCAACGCCGGATCTGGCGGCTTAGGGATGGGAGTATCCATGAGAGACATGGTGGGCGATATCTGGCCGAGTCCACTATTTGGGTGACTCTGCGGAACCGAACTAGATAATTTCTCTACGTTCACCGGTGGACGAGGGTGTAGCGACCCGTTGGTTTTTTCGTTGTAGGATGACACTCTGGGTGTCTTTTTCCTGAAGAGCCCCATTAAGTTGGTGGACGTTTGTAGTAGTTATCGATAGACGCTGCAGGCACGTGGCACGTGCGTTATGGAGAAGTGGGGAGCGAGAAATTTTAAAAATAATGAACAGGTGATTTCGGGCATCGACTCGGGCATCGACCAGGATTCCTCGACTGACGCTCACTGTCGCCTTAATGCGTCCTCTGCAGAGGTGAGGTCAGAAGAGAGGAGCGGATCCGAAAATGTGTTTGGATTCTTTTAAGGAAGAATTGGAAGCCTTTGCTCGCTGGGGAGCTCGCTGGGGAAGGTGCAGTCTGGCTAGCAAAGACGAGCACGCCGCCCAGCGCCACGACCAGCGCCACGTCCTGCCCCAGTTCTTGCCCAAGTACCTCGTATTGTGCACTAAAGTTAGCTATAATACGGTAGGAGAGCGTCATCGAAGACGATTAGCTTCCGTCTCTCTAAATGTCGAGTCTCGCGTGGTTCTCAAACATGCTAGCGACAGGCACCAAGATGCCAATTGGTTGCTTTAACCACGTACTACGTAGTAAAAGCAGGGCTAGCTCCCTTCCCTCTTTGGTCACCAAGTCCTACTACGTCCTACTCCGTCCTGCACGCGCAGTCTATTGATTAGAGGCTTGCTGGACTACAGAAGCTGCTGCTCAACCAATTTTTGCCTGGGGCACTAAAGTTACGATACGATATTTTTGTGGGAATCAGAACAATGTCTCGGCCTAATCTTACCCAGAAGCTGTTGTGGTAGACGGACGTGTTCGAAGGAAGATCTGAGATCACTGTAGCACTTCTTGCAGTTGGGCCACACCAGTTAGGGAGACTGGATCAGAGCAGAACATCATGGTCGGCTGCGAGGCGGATGTAATCATTGGCTATAGGTGAAGCTTAGAGTCTCAATACTTTAGCCGTGAAGGGATGATTGTTCAAGGACCACAGGGTGTAAGATGACCCCCAAGCATGCCAAGAGCAGATTCACCATGGGGTGCAGTGGCCCCTCAGTGGCTCACGGTTAGTACGTACGTAGTACTACTTAAATCGAGTAGTCTGCTGTGGCTTGTTGCTGTGGCTGAATGGCTTCGCAAGTCCCGTCAGTCTCTCTGTTCGTAACTCAATAATGTCACAAAACTTTATAGAAATCGCGAGGCAATCGATTCCTGATCTGGTTCCCGGAGAAGCGTGTGTCTTCGCCAATAGGAGGAGATAGTCAGTTATGGATGACCTCTCTTCTCTGGATTGGTCCACCAAGCCAGAAGGCGCAACGAAAACACAACCATACGGAGTACCCTCATCTGCCTTTGCCGCCTTACGCCCTACTCCCCCTGCCTCTAGGCGATCGTCCCCATTAGCTACAGCTCCGGCGCATCCCTCGTCCAAGACGCAGACTTCTGTGAACGATAGCTTTTCCAATCTCGTGTCTTTCAGCTCCACCTCGACGAACAAGACCCCATCCCTACAAGAACAGCACAAGAAACTGCTTGAGCAAAAGGCGCAGCAGCAGGCAGCAGAGCAGAGAAAACTTGAATCGCATTACAGTGGAGGCAATGAACAGTTCTGGGACAATTTGGGCAGCGGTCGAAGCACACCAGCTCTTCCTGCGCCCTCCTCTATCGCATTGGGTGCGCAACTCCCGGCTTTCACGGAAGGGTCGAATCGCAACGGAACTGCAAACGACGAGCTTCCAAGAGCAACTACAGAGGACGAAGACGACATCCTAGCAGCTTTCAGAGCTGATGCACCGGTAGACTCTTCAAGCCACTTTCCCAAACCATTCGAACATTCACATGTTCCAAGCGATGGCGGACCACGGAGCAGCTCCACTGTGTCAACATCAGGTGGTAAAAGACGAGGCCAAGATGCCCAAAATTTTGATATTCTCGAGGACGATGATCCATTTGGATTAGCTGAGCTTTCCAAGAAGAACCGCGGCAGCTCCCAGGAACCAGCATTGCACAGAGACAATGAAGCCGACGACGAGGATGTTCTGGGCTTGCTTGGGAAGCCTGTCTCAGAGCTGACAAAAACTCCCAAAATCGCAGATTCGTCTCCAGCGTCCGCCAAGCAAACGTCAAGCCACCCTCAGGATCAGGCTATGGCTGAGCTCCTAGACATGGGCTTTCCCCCGGAAAAGGCACGGGAGGCCTTGGAAAGTACCGAATCAGGAACAGACGTCCAGCAAGCAGTCGGTTGGCTTCTCAGTAAAGCTCATTCGGAGTCCAAACAGAATACTGGACGGCGACGAAGAAGCAATGAAGGTCCTCGTCAAAGCAGAGACCCTAGAATCGATAGAAGGAGTGGTTCGAGGCCTGACACCAGACCATCTGAGCCATCTGAGCCGGCTTGGTCAAATGATAGGCGTCAGGAAAGACACAGACCTCAGCCATCTACAACAGCCTCAGAGCAACCGGGGAAGGATTTCGCACCGAACGCTTCTGAGCTTGGAAGCGCCTTTCTGAAGACGGCTGGCTCTTTTTGGAAGACTTCAACCAAGAAAGTGCAGCAAGCTGTGCAAGATTTCAACAATTCGGATAGTGACTCAAGCCAGCCTAAGTGGATGAGGGACCCGGGAGCTGCCAGGAATGGTCAGGGCTCCGACCAAGGTGATGAAGAGAGAGTCACTACACGATCGCGACGCCGGAATTCCACGAACAGAAAGCTGGATTCCGTGACCGACGAAGCCTTGATGCTCGAATCTGATCGAGCCCGGCCACTCCCTCGAAAGCCAGCCAGACGTCAAGAACCAGCTTTTGATTCCAGTGCAGATAATTCAAGAGATCATTCTCCTGCGATACCATCAAGATTAAGACCAGAACTTCCTGCTCAGCCAGCTTTTCTCCGTCAACAGCAACAAAAACAACAACAACATCCCAAGGCGCAAGCAAGATTGCACCCTAAGGCATCGCTGAACCGTCAGGCCATTGACGATCAAGCATCTCAAGCGTACGTTAGCTCAGCGCGCCGACGAAAACCCGCTCTGAACTCGCTCGTTTCTGCTTCTGAGCCTGATCTTCTGGAGAGTGCATCGTTACCCAAACATTCATCGACATCTCGACCAGCCACCACTCAACCTATTGAACTAAATAGACCGTCTGGGTCTCTTCCTCCCATCGTCGTTCGTGCACCAGCTCCCTCTCGCACCATACCTCCAATATCCTCGATCTCTCTTCAAGCATCTCATGCAGACCGGGAGGCTGGCAATGCGCACTTCAAACGAGGTGACTATCCTGCCGCGCACCAGTCTTACACTTCTTCGCTTAAACACTTACCTAGCGCTCACCCAATAGCCATCATCCTTCATACTAACCGCGCGCTCACTGCTCTCAAAATCGGGGAGCCCAAGACTGCCGTTGCGGACTCGGAAGCAGCAATCGCGGTGATTGGGCCTTCACGAGGCGAAGCCGAAGCGATTGAACTGATAACTGGCGAGCCTGCCAAGCCTATGCGGGACTACTTTGGCAAAGCACTGATGCGGAAAGCGGAAGCGCTGGAACAGATGGAGAAGTGGAAAGAGGCGGCGCTTGTGTGGAAAGAGGCTGTAGAGGGTGGCCATGGCGGCGCAACCAGCATCCAAGGTAGACTTCGTTGTGAAAAAAGTGCAGCCCCTCAACAACCGCAGCGAGGAAAGCATTCTTCTGCCGCCAAGAAGCCTCTCACCTCAGCACCGGCCAGAACCTCTTTTTCCGTCCTGAATGGCACCACCCACAGTAAACCTGCCGCAGCTGCTGTTGCCAGGCTGCGTGCCGCCAATGCCGACGCAGAGAGAGCAGATGACGAAAAGTTTGCTCTGGCGGACACAGTTGATGCCAAGCTCGCGGCGTGGAAAGGAAGCAAGGCCGACAACTTGCGCGCCTTACTCGGGAGTCTGGACACAGTGCTGTGGCCTGAGGCAGGCTGGAAGAAGATCGGGATGGCAGAGTTGGTGTTGCCAGCAAAGGTAAAGGTACAATATATGAAGGGGATTGCCAAGGTGCATCCTGATAAGGTACGATTTCCTTGCGCCATGCTACCCCTTACTCCGGAAGTGTAGGGAACGTCCTGTGCAACAAGAAGCCTGACCATTGGACAGATTCCCACCAATGCGACCACGGAACAGAGGATGATTGCTGGGGCGGTGTTTAGCACACTGAATGAAGCCTGGGACAAATTCAAGGTTGAACATGGGTTGTGAGACGGAGCATGGCTGGGAACATGACTACGCCAGCCGGAAAAGGCACTCTACCTCGAAGATGGCTGTTCTCTCGAGGCCAGTCCCAAGCAATCCTAAGCAATCCTTTTGTCTGGTGATAGAGCGGGCTTCCAAGGACCCCATCCTGGTCATAATGCGCATAGTCTACACATGTGGAGAACAGCTCCAGCAAAGGCTAGTCAGAGTTGCCATCCTTGTCTGGTGTCTTGGACCACTCAGTATACCTTTCCGTAGACCTTTCCGTAGTGATCTGTGCCTGCATGAAGTTGTGGAGTTCCCATGCCACCAAAAAGGGACCAAAAAGAGGTGCTTCCTATGGCGCACGCACTCTTTGCTCTGCGGCCACGGCCTGATTATGTAATCTCACCAATGAAAATGGCGAACACGCTCAGAACCAGAAGAGAACAATAGGAGGGACAGAAGCCATAAAATGTCTCGGGACCTGTATCTTACGTAGAAAACCCTGAAATCAAAGCACACAAGCACCGAAAACATGCAATCCCCATTCCTGAGCCGCGACGCAACCACCAGAGACAATCAACTCGCCATCCTCCACGTACGCCGGGACCAATCCATCCCCATCATCCTCGCCAGCAAACCAGATCCGGACCTCGACACAGGCTATGCCGAAGGCGTAGTGACCAACACCCGCTTCGGTTCTTTCCCCCACTCCACCCTGGTCGGCTTAC